ATAAAATAACGGCATCCAACACACGAGTCACACAACCACCACCAACAATTTGACTTTAGGTTTCCTTTTACAACGCTGGTAGCCTTGATATATAGAACAACTTTTTAAAAAAGCTCACCTCAACCTGTATCTGTTGTACTTCAAGCTCCAAGTTGTTTCATTTTGCCGTCTTATCACCTATCTTACCGTAGTCGTGAAGTCCGCTGGAATGAGTGCGTTGGAGGTGCGTGACAGCTTTCTGGTAATTTCTTCATCCCTCTGTTTTCTCTAATGTTTTCAAGTTAACATCTCATGTTTGTTAAAAATTTTGAGAACCCCGGACCTTAAAAAAGCCGTCTATAAAACAAAGCTCGGTAGTTTAACTGTCAACAAAGCGAAGTTGCTTGCTCGTGGATCCGTTCACTTCAAGGTAATCTGATTTGCATAGGAGTGTGCCAAGGGTCTACTTCCGGTGCCGAGTATACACGTGACGAGCTTCACCGACTTTCGCCCGTTACTTCCAGTACACTGAAGAAGATTCATCTTTTATACTCCTCCTTCTTCAAAAATACTGCAGTTGACATTATTTTACCTGAGAATTATCTTTAATATTTTGACATTTTAGGCATTTGATTAACATTATCGAATTAAATTTAGTTTATTTTGATTCAACCGTTCATTCCCACTTGAAAAAGAAAAAAGATCTTTGCAAAAACACTGTTTGTGTGCGCTCTTCTTCGATGAAGCTATGGAAGGTTCGTGCTCCTTCGAGTCATTAGTAGGTACTCTGTGTTCGTTTGATAGAAGGGATAAGCAGAGATCAACTGAGATTGTTCCTTTGTCGCTGTCAAACTATTAAGGACGTAACTGGGCATAGGTTGACATGGTCTCTTTCTGGTATTGAAAGCGAAACAGACTTTATTTTAGCTCAGAACTGACCAGCCAGACCATTCCCGTCGCAATGATAATTTCCCTTTTAATCAAACTCTTCAGCTAGATCAGTCAAATCCGCAATGGCATGCTCGAAAGAGAACGTTTTTAGGCAAAACTCAGGCAAAGATCCAGCCGGCCAGTTCTGACAAATGGAAAGCGCCCTATGTTCCTTTAATATATCCCCTTTCCATCGTTCTGAGCTCGGTATTGGATGGCGACGGAACAGTTATTCCAGTTCGTGCCAAGTTCCACAGGAAAGCGCCAATCACATAATTGAAAGGAGAGGGAAACCTGTTAAAGCCGACAAAAGAGTTAGAGGAAGAACATTTCAGAATATATCTATCAGCAAACCGGTATTCTCATTCCTTCAGGTTCAGGTACTCTTGGTTTATTCACTGTATTATATTCTAATTAGTCACTTAGATTCAATCCACGAATACTGTATAAAGTTTATCATAGTTGTCAACTCTCTTAGATAACCCAGAGTCTCCCGGGTACGGTACCAATCCACCTAATCTGTCCGAGAAAATAAACCTTTCACTTTTCCTCTTAGTTTGAAATTAAACCCGATTTCCCCCAGAGTAAATATATATATATATATATATATATATATTAAATTTAAAGATCATAGTCCAGTTCTGATGGCATTTGTTGTTGTCGTTTCATTTCATTTTATTTTATTTTTTTACATTTACTTCAAACGACTGACTTTTTCCTCATTCAAGCCAACGTGTGGGGAAATGGGCAATGACGAAGCCATTGATTTCAAGCTCAGTAGCAGATGCGCTTGCAGGATGTTACAAGAACGCAGGACACTGGGGATCACGAAGAGAAATCTTAGGGAGCGTTTTTGAGCGACGGACGTCAACCGGAAGTGGACTTTTTGCATCATTGGGAAGTGGTTTGGTTGAAACTCTCGGGTAAATCGTCTTTAAAAGAGAAAAGAAACTCAGCAATACAAGTTTGTTAGCGTCAAGGCATATAAAAAGGGAGAAGGCCTCACTTCCGGTTGACGTGCGTCGCTCAAAAACGTCTTTGCTTAAGGTCCCTCTTATCTATTAGGGACGGACCATTAGAAGAGTTATGGGGGGATTTTTGTGCCGGGGAAATTTTTTTCGTTATCAAATTGCTTCATGAATTTCAGTTTTAGGCCGTAGCATGAATATTTTTTAGGGTTAATTGGCGTGCATAAATTTTTTTCATTTAATTTTCCCTTGCGCGAATATATATATTTTTTGTACTTTGCCCGCCGCCCCCCCAATAATGTTTGTTTCAATTCACGAAAAGTGGCATTTAGCACAGGAGAAATTACATTTGTCATATATTAAGGGCCTGTTTACATGGAGTGGGGGACCCCGGTCTAGTGGGGTAAGTTTCTTTTGTTTTCACGCTCTGGAGGACACAAAACAAAAGAAACTTACCCCACTAGACCGGAGTCCCCCACTCCATGTAAACAGGCCCTAAGAAGGCACTCTGAAATACCGCACGTGCAGGCCAGGATTGCCCACGTGCAGCCAACAACTGGAAGTTCCATCTGTGAAGATGGGAAGAAAACATGTACACAATTTTTTGTTAAGACATCTGTTGATTTGATAATGCCCACGTCTCGAAGCAATGAAAATCTTCATTGAGGCTACCAATTAAATTCTTCATTTTCACAAATTTTATATTATACCAGGTTGTACGTTTGCTTTTCGCCTGCTTTTAGCGGATCCAGACCCCGGGCACTGGGATCTTGACAGCTGTAATCTGATATTACTGTTGACAGTAATTTGCATACTGAGTCACAAAACGTTCGCATGGGCGCTTTATCCTTCAGATTGGCGCTTCCTTCTGCGGTGTCTAGCAGCATTTTGAGACAAAAGTTGTTGACAGATAAGGAAGTGAGGGTTTACTACGTGTTTACTAAGCGAAGTTCGTTAGAAAGCATGCGTGTTGGTTATGAGTCTCAAACAGAGTTTAATATAGAATGGCAAATTTGAACAGATGGCAACGGGAAACATTTTACATTTTGCCGTAAAACTAGACCTGAAACAAAGAACAGGGTGAGTACTTTAACATTTAGAACTTTGTGCGTGAATATTACCAAGACTTTTTCCGAGAGACGTTTCATGACCTTTGCCTGGTCGACTGACGATGGTCACGCATATGTTAAAGATGGCGTTACTTTATGTTGTCTGTAAAACGATTTTCAAATAATTTCTGAGAAGCTCAGAATGATTTCCCCAAAATAATTTTTGCATAACATAATAGTTTGATGCCTGTAGTGTATTTGCCTGCAATCTGAAAAAATTCTGATCAAAGGCACATGATGAAAATCGTCGCTGTTTTCAACGCCCTTTCGTGGCTAACCATCAGGTAGTCGTACGCTTTAGCATTTTTATAATTACTTAGACTGTTGTAATGCTAAAAATATTATACATTTTGATCAACGACGAGTTAAACTTAAAATTTTAGCAATAAGTTTTTTTCCTAGCGCGGCTGTATTGGAACGCGAGCCCAGCGAATCATGATGAATTTCAACCCTGTTTTTGGCTTGCGAAATCGACGGTGGGGCTTGAAACGGTTTTTTTTTTGTTTTTCTCGGGAACGAACAGATCTTTCGAAGAAAAAACTACATAGCGTTTGTATACTTACTAATGTCTACCAGTCTGCAAAAGAAGAGCGATTTTGATTTTTTGAGCCTTGCCACGAATCGGCGATTTTGGTCGATTTTTGTATGGATTCGCTCTTAAGCTCTTCATAAAAATAGATTTTGCCTTAACGCCGGCCATCTTAGATTTTTCCAAAGGGTTTAGGGCCAATAATTTGGATTTGACCCTAAATCATAGGTTGTCCCCGTTGCCCAAATTCAACATGGTGACCAGCCAAAATCAATAATTGTTATTGTCTAAGTCTACCAGGCCCTACGCTGGTTGCCAGAGGCTTTTCATGCCCGGTTTGAGGTTTCGATTAAGTCTTAAAAAATGACCCGCGCGTTTTTCTCGCGTCGACCTGCGACCGACGAAGCTCCTCGTCGCACGCAAGAAAAAAACCTGAGGTACCCAGGATAACGAGGCCCTCTCACCCACCTATAACATTTGTAACTTAACCATCCTCAACCTCGTTACTAGGGTCTACAGACCTCTACAAGTCCCAGTCGCTCCTGTGGAACAAGTAGACGAGGACCCAGGGCCTGACATTGCATGATAGGCCTATTTTGACTTGAGGGGTAACAAGGCTAACCAGGGGTAACAAGGGGTAACAAAGGGTAACAAAGGGTAACAAGGGGTAACAAGGGTAACAAGGGGTAACAAGAAGTAACAAGGTTAACAAGGGGTAACAAGGGGTAACAAGGGGGAGGGTGCGGCTACACGTAGGCCACTGTGAAGTGAAAATTGCGTTGTCAGCAGGAATTTCACTCTGTTCATCACGCCGTCTATTGAAAGATTGCAAATCTTAGGAATCTTACAAGTGTGAAGTCACTATCGTAAAGAGTGAAGATAGTTTGAACGTTCAGCTGGTCAAAGTAAAATTGCAGCTGGTACTCAATCAGCATAGACAACACAATGAACCAGTGATGTTGGAGCTGCTCGTAAGGTGTTTCCTCATTGGTCGCAGAAAACAATAGATTTTTTATCATTATTTCTCATTGTTTTACGGTTAGGGTATCGAAAAAATACACAAGAAACAACAAGGCCACAAATGCAACTTGCTCCAGTTCATTTATTTCCCAGTTACACAAGGTTGCCGGATAATAATCCCAGAATAACAGAAAGTGGTTTCTTTCAACGTCGGTGAAGTAGCTACAACCGCTAAAGACCTGGGGTACTTACCAGTTACCATCCTGTTGAAAATATCGTGCTTAAACTATCAACGATTAAATTTGGCCTAACGGGCTAAAGAACCGCTAGAAAATATAGCCAGAATAGTTACACAGACTGAAGAGAGCATAAAAGCGAATGACTCTCTCAAAGGAAAGCCTGTATTTTCTGAAGTGCTCCAAATGGAAAGGTACAAATTATTTCATTTTTCATTCGTAATATTCGGTTTTCCCAGGTAAATGGTAAGTACCTCTGGTTACATGTTTTTTCCCCTGTATTTCCTAATTAACGACGCCGCTTGCGAACATTTTGTTGTTGATTAGATTCAAAAACCTGGCCTTGCGGATTAGTCTCTAACATTCCACTCTTGTCCGGCACGGTGATGCATCTGGCAGGTCGACACTTGCAGGTTTTAATCTCCATAAAGTTGGTCCTTCGGGTTTCGCCGTTCGGGCATTTCAACACAACATTATTGAAACGCTCAACGTCCTCTGGCTGGCAACAATTACAAGAGGACTCGTAGCCCTCGTCCCCATATGTGGCGGTCGAGACGGAGTCGCAATGGCCCCTGCATTGAGTGAAATTGTACTTGCGTAGCGAAGTGCAGTTCGATTTGTCTCGGATTTTATCCAGCTTAAGGTTCAAAACTGCACAGGTTCCTGTAGTTTGCGAGAGGTTGAAATTTGGTATTGGCTCTGTGAATCAAAAGAAAGCATTGTTTTAAAACTAGGCGTCGCTAGAGACCCTTAGACTCGAGGACGAGGGCGACTAAGCAACCTAAGCAAACATTTACACTTACTTCTCACTTAGGGCAAAATGTTGGCTTAGGGAAGGGGTAGGTGGGAGTAGACTCTCACTAAGGCGGACACCTTTGGCCCGCGGACACTAAATGTCCCTCTAAGAGAGTTGTCCGTCATATTGAGAGTAAAATAAAGACAGCAAAGAAATCTTGGTCTCCGTTCTACCGAGCTGTCCATCTTATAAAGCTGTCGGCTGTATGAGCGAAGAGTTACCAAGTTTGATAATAGGGAACTTAAGCAAAGGCGTTTTTGAGCAACGCATGGGTCAATTTAGGTTTCTGGGAAACTGCCCACCTACCCCTCCCATAAGTCAACATTAACACTTACATCTCGCTTGGGCAAAATGTTGGGTTAGGGGAGGCATAGGCGGGCAGTGATCCCAACGCACGTCAACCGGAAGTGGACTTTTTACATTCCTGAGCAGCAGTTTTGCCAAAATTTTCAAAATTTGGCCCTAAGCAAGAAGTAAGTGTTAATGTTAGCTTAGGGGAGGGGTAGGTGGGCAGTTTCCCCAGACACCTAAATTGATCCCATATTAAAAGGGAAAAGTCCTCACTTTCCGTTGACGTGCGTTTCTCTCAAAAACGCCTTTGTTTAACCCTATAAACCCTAAGATCAAAATTTGAGTTCTCCTTTGTTGCCTCTATTCATTTCCTCCAGAAGTAGTGGGGAGAAGTTAATAAAATATCAAGCAAATTCATCTTGTGGGATCATGTCCATAATTCTCATGACCACTCTGTTTTACAAAGCATTGATATTACAAGGAGAAATTTGATGCTGAGTCACTCTCTAATGTCTTGGCACTTACCACACGGTGGGCAGCAGTCTTTAAAGTTCGCAGGAGGGCGTAGATAACCCTGTAAAAATGGCATAAATTTGTCAACTAAAAGACCAAAGCAACCGTTTACTATGTGTTCCTAGTTTTTTTTTTCTGGTTTTAATTTTAAAGGATGCGAAGTTCAAATATAAATGGCTTGGACTCGTATTGTAAGCAAAATAATGATATAACAATGATAGAAATGATACTGTGCTTCGATTCTAGTCCGGCTTACCTTCTATTCATGGATGAATCTATACGCTTTTTACTACAGGATGGAGTCCTTTTAAGTTTGAGTTTGTATATAAATCCACAATGTGATTGGCAAGTTTCACTATATAAATCAACGGGCAGATCTATAGCGTAATATTGTACATTGCGCAATACGATGTAGCTTTTACTTTTAAGAATGTGAACAAGAGTTATTAAGTGTGATCAGTCATATTCACGCTTATGAAAGTGGTTCCAACGCTTGCGTTTACGGATAATCCCAAACAAGTGATTCTCTGAGGGGCATGAAGTTCACTTGAAAAATCGTGATCATTCGAGGAAAAAGCTAATGGTTCACTCGAGCGTGGGAATGGGAGCTAATTTGGGAATATCTTGTTCCAGGCTCCAAGAAAAGTAAATGACTGGGGAGAGAGAAGCCACCCCCAATTCTCCAGATCACGTGCGTCGTATTTTCGCTTGGCTTGTTTTCGCGACGTCCCAGCCTATCTGAGAGCCTGGGTGCCTGAGAATATCATGCGCAGTTTCCGGTTCTGGATTTTGGTAAAATCTTTATAGTGACCTGCGCTTCGCCGCTCGTGACTGCTGTCTTCTCAGCCTCATTCGATCGCCGCACGCGACAAAAAACCGCTGGTACCCAGAGTAACGTGTCTAAGAGCCTGGCACATGTTAATTTGGGGAAGGCCGCTCATTCGCGGAAATATTGAAATAGTATTACCTGTGGACATTTATCACATATCACATGTTCAGTAAGTATTTGTACACTCTTGTTCTGAGGGAAGCATGGATTAACCGACAGCACGCACTTGAGATTCTTACAACTTCCATCGGTCCACGACGTGTTTGGCTGCAGTTACAGAAAAAAAAAACTAACCTGAGTATTAAAGTTATTTCATGGATATCGCTTTTAAATTGACCTGGGAGATATTTTTATCTTAGGTTTCTATAGGCAAGATAATCAATCCAGACCGTGCAGATAACGTTAAGAAAGGAATCTTGAAGTTCGTCAGACACTCCCTTATACGTACAACTGTGTGAATCAGACGGATCATCTGCCTTGACGAACTTTCGCCTCACGTAAGTCTTGAAGTCAGACAACAACAGACAATACGGGCAACAGACGGATAATAGGTCCTGGTGGGCTTAAATTAACTAAATAACAAAACAAACTAACTAAAAATGGTAAATACTTACCGCATGATATTCGGTTTCGTTCTTGCTGTTTATGTACACACAAGAAGGACAGATCGACGCTAAATTTGATTTAAAAAGAATAGTATATTTGAATTAAAAGGAGAGTAGAAAGAAACTGGACCGAGTTAACTTTCGCAGAGACTCCTGGGATCGTTACTACGGACGCACTGGTCGGCTATTGGTCAATTTTTTCCCTGTCCCAGAAGTCTTTGCGAAACTTAACTCGGCCCAATTCCCTTCAGGTTTCTAAACTGGCAAACTGCAAAGCTGAATACGTACCTACACACCCACAATATTGGTTTCTGCTACACTAATCATCGTCATCATTATTAACGATGTATAATTGCATAAAATGAATTTATTTCACAGAAGTAAGGTGAAAGGTTCATATAAACAGAGATTTCCGCGTCAATAACGTTGAGGTTGATTTTTTTCCAAATTCATTGGTACTGATTCCAATGTCCCCCTACCATCGAAATCACCTATGTCTCCACACCTCACTTTTTTCGAACTTCTATAGGAAATTATGATGCCTTTCAACTTTCTAATCTTCTTTTTCTGTCACCCGTCCTTATGATTGTGATTTTGATAATGATCATGGCTATGACCATGATTATGATTACTGAATCCTACTGGTGTCAATGTACTTAATACAGTCAACTCTCCCTAAGACGGACACCTTTGGGACCGGCACTAAGTGTCCGTCTTAGAGAGGTGTCCGACTTATAGAGAGTCAAATAAGGGGAGTAAAGAAAAGCAGGGACCAACTCTAGGTGTCTGTTTTACAGAAGTGTCCGTCTTATAGAGGTGTCCGTTAAGAGAGAGTTGACTGTAACCAATTCAGGTCACCTTTTACGAACTAACGACGGCGCCGCCTTTTCTAATCGGCCATCCCAGTCACGCGAAGATCTATCTCCTTTGCTTGGCTCTTAAAATTGAACCCGTGACTTCCCCACTCTGCAGCGCTTTGCTTATCCTAAATAACGCGTCTCGGGTTAAAAGCCAATATTCTAAGTATACTTACACACACTTGGCAGAGGAACCGTCGTTGATGGCGTGGGCGTGATGGTAGTGATGTACGATGACGACAACGTCGTGTAAGTTGTCGGAGTACTCGTTGTAACGAAACTTGACAAACTGCAAATAAGAATGAAGAGCTTAGTTTCAAAGCAGACAGTAATGCTGTGTCCTTTTTGGAGTGAAACACAAATCACGCTTCATCAGCTGAGTTAATGATGTCGGTTTACCCCCGTAAAAAGATTCAAAAGGTTACCATCGCCGACAAACTTAGTTGAGACACTTTGCCTTAAAGGGCTCTTTTGACCAACTTCAAAAGGGAAAAACAGAGCTTTCAGCGGCGAAATTACTTGAAACAAGCAATGTTGTGCCGCTTTGCGAGCTACCTGTAAGAAATATCAAACATCCCAACTTTGAATAGAGGGGAGAGGGGAGGCGTGCAGATTGTTATGTTCTACGAATATTCCCTATTTGCGGAAAGAAGCTCGACAATTTTGTCGCCGATTGTAGCTCTTCTTCAAAGCAAATAGCGTCCGACAACTTTACATGTCAATAAAAATGCAATAATCCCAAATCTCGCAAAAGAAAGAAAAAAAGATAAACAAGTGTCTTTAACCTAAAATTTATCAAACATCATACTTGATCCATACCGTGTAGTGCTCGAGGAAGAACTTGATACCGAAGTAGATATGCTAGACGATGAGCTAGAAGAGGACACGCTGACAAAAAAATGACATAATTACATTAAGACAAACAAGAGAGAGAGAGGGAGAACAAGCGACGGTCTTCATCTGAAACAACAACTTAAACAAACCTTGATGATGTACTGCTAACGCTCGTGGAAGAGGATGTTGTAGTGGGTGTGGACGCACTAGAACTTGATGAAGTTGAAGTAGAACTACTCACACTGGAACTAGATGAAGTTGAAGTAGAGCTACTGAGACTGGAACTCGATGATGTTGAAGTTGAACTACTCACACTTGAATATGTCGAGTAGACTGTTGTCGTTGGCGTTGAAACGCTTGAGCTTGAAGAGCTAGAGGATGCACTGCTTGACACACTTGTGCTGACACTCGTCGACGAAGTTGTTGTAGTGGGTGTGGACACACTGGAACTTGACTTGCTGGACGATGTACTGCTCGATACACTTGTACTGACTGATGTGGATGAAGTTGTTGTAGTGGGCGTCGAAACACTGGAGCTCGATGAAGTTGAAGTTGAGCTACTCACACTAGTACTTGAGGATGTTGAAGTGGAACTGCTCACACTTGAATATGTCGAGTACACTGTTGTAGTTGGTGTAGAAACGCTTGTACTTGAGGTACTGGATGATGTACTGCTTGACACACTTGAGCTGACACTCGTGGACGAGGTTGTTTTAGTAGGTGTGGACACACTAGAACTTGCAGAAGTTGAAGTTGAGCTGCTCACACTGGAACTAGTTGAGGTAGAACTACTGACACTCGTACTCGAGGAAGTTGACGTGGAACTGCTCACACTTGAATATGTCGAGTACACTGTTGTAGTTGGTGTAGAAACGCTTGTACTTGAAGTACTGGATGATGTACTGCTTGACACACTTGAGCTGACACTCGTGGAAGACGTTGTTGTGGTGGGTGTGGACACACTAGAACTTGAGGAAGTTGAAGTTGAGCTGCTCACACTGGAACTAGTTGAAGTAGAACTACTGACACTCGTACTCGAGGAAGTTGACGTGGAACTGCTCGCACTTGAATATGTCGAGTACACTGTTGTAGTTGGTGTAGAAACGCTTGTACTTGAAGTACTGGATGATGTACTGCTTGACACACTTGAGCTGACACTCGTGGACGACGTAGTTGTAGTGGGCGTAGACACACTGGAACTTGAGGAAGTTGAAGTTGAACTGCTCACACTTGAGTATGTCGAATATACTGTTGTAGTGGGTGTGGACACGCTCGAACTCGTTGATGTTGAAGTTGAGGTTGAGCTACTTACACTTGAACTTGTTGAACTTGTGCTGTAAGCGCAGAAAAGTTGCAATAAAAAAATTACAAGTTTGAGATCTAAAGTAGCCAAGTTCTTCGGGTTGATTTATCTAAAGTGAGTGTTGCTTTCCTTTCTTACGTGTAAACATAGTATCATAAAGAATTATATTCCTTGGAAAAAGGTAATGAAGGCGACCACGAGAAATGCCTTAGAGATTTTCTGCTCTTTTATTATTTTCTTAGCAACAGCTTTCGAAGGAAAATAATTTCTTCGTTTACGGACCTCTTTCATGCAATAATATTAAGATAACAAGCTAAACTAATTGATCACTGAACGAAATTGAGTTTGTTACCAATCAGTTTGGTCAAAGAGCCTTACAGGACGCGTGGGACTAAGACCAATAAGAGGAGAAAGTTGAGATCCGCCATAAATTTCGAATGCATTCTCTTATACCAGGGCTAGAAATTAACGCTCGCAAACTCGCAAAATGCGAGTGATTTTGATAATCTGCGAGTGAGAAAAACATCAACTAGCAAACGTTTGCGAGTTGGAATCATCCATGTCTCCCAAACAAAGGGAAAGAATTTGCTACTGGTCTCACCAGTTTGCTAGTGGAAAAAAATCTTTCTAGCAACACTTTGCAAGTGCACTAAAAAGTTAACTTCGAGCCCTGATTATACGAGACCACCAGTAAATATTCCTGATAATGCTTTCTTTATCATGCGATCAATTCCTCTTAAATTTACCATAACCCATTTTAACATGCAATTCGCCACTTTAAAAACGTGAAGAAAACTGCGCCGAGCTAACTTTCGCAAAGACTTCTGGAACTGTTATTAGAGAGCTTTAGATTCTGGGACGAAGACGACTATGACTACGAGATTTTCTCAATACCAAGTAGTACTCACGCTTGAACCAGCGTCATTTTGGCGGGAAAACGTGGTAGCTGTCGTCATTCTACTACGAGTTTAAGCGAGAATGTCGTAGTGGCGGGAACAAGTTATCAAATGTAAGAAGTTTTATCATTTTGTTGTTGGGAGAAGGCTTTACTTCCTTCACTATAAATAACCGTACTAACTTTTTTGCTGAAAAAAAGTAAAATGAAGCTTTCTGAGGTGTCTTTTTTTTAGAACACGCGCAAAAACTTTGAGTTAAATCTCGTACTCGTACTCCTTCTCGTCCTCAAATCTAAAGCTCTCTACTATACAGAGACAGGGAAACAAATTGCCCAATAGCTGACTAGCGCGTCCCAAGTGATCATCCCAGAAACAATTGCGGGAAGCACTTCGGCTCCAGTTCCCTTCTCGTTCTTAAGTGACAAATTTCTTGGATACCAATTTTTTGTAACTGAAGGAACTCGAATCAATTTAGGTTTCTGGGAAACTGCCCACCTACCCCTCCCCTAAGCCAACATTAACACTCACTTCTCGTTTAGGACAAAATGTTGATTTAGGGGAGGGGTAGGTGGCCAGTTTCCCAGAAACCAAATTGATCCAAAACTCCGGGTGGATATACAGAGTCTGTCTGTCTGTCATGACATTTCTAAAATTAAAAAAAAAATTGCTTGGAGAGTTACCTGCTAGATGAAGAACTTGTTCTCGAGGTTCGTGAGGGCGGTTTCAAGCTTGGTGGTGTTCTACTTGATGTACCAACAGTGTATACTGTCCCTGTAGTTCTGGTCACAGTAGATGGGTACACCGTGGCTGTACTCTTCTGAGAAACCGATTTATATGAAGTGGAAGTCGTCGACGAGGATACTGAACTTGAAGTAGAAGTGGATCTGAAAACAGAGTAAAGGAAATATAATTAACAACGACTTAAAACAGTCTATCGAACAAGGAAGAAAGCAAGAATAAAAATTTAATAACAGTTAAGTATACAAAGCAATACTTTAGGATCAAGCGCCTGAATGAAGAGATGAAAAAGCGTAACTTACGCATTAGAGCAAAATACCGTCACGGCTTAACCGACAAACAACAAAGACAAATGGCTAACTTCACCAAGTAAGTCAACAACCAGAATTGTTATATCGCTGGAAATTTTTTTCCCAACAGCTCCCGCTCATTAGCAATTTCGAGGTCATATGACATCTAACAATGAAACTGTTTCCGCCAAAATCTCTGAGCTGCCAACATTGCAAAATCTATGACGTCAGAGGGTAACAGTGCACTACTACCCACGAATGTTGATCGACGACCGCCGTTACAACGAGGTTTAATGAACTTCCAGCCACAAAATTTCCAGCTATATAACAAATCAGTTAAAGACTAGTCCCTCAGCAAACAGTTAATTTTGTTTCCCGAGACTCTCAATGACTGTTTCCCTCGGGACCAAGTGTTTATTAATACCCCAAGCTAACAACACTGTACACTTTATATCAGACAATGACTACCTACAGAAATTTCCCAGAGTAGATCAGTTACGGTTATTCAAAGTCATCATAAGAAAATGAAGAAATGGTTTTAAAAAAGTACACTCAAAGACGATTAATAAAGGGGAAGATTGCCATAAAATAAGTTAGCCTTAGGGGCTCACAGTCACTCAAGAATAAGGACCTTACGATCCGATAACGACGACGCCAATGAAAGTGTCGCTGAAAAATAGACTTCGCGTCCTTTGAAACTTTTTCGCCCTTTTACAAAGTCACCCAGTTACTTGAAAGTAGGCAGGTAAAGTTGCAACAGAAGAGAAAGGACGGCGTCTGAGCTCAGAGAGAGATACCAGGGAGCTTTACCATCGACGACGTCGACAGTAGCGAAAATGTCACTTTCATGATGATTTCACGTTTTTTTTAACAATTTGTCGCGTTTATACCAATTCGCTGTAAAAGACAAATGTAGGCGAAGTTCGCTGCAGTTGATTTCTTAGCGACCACACTCAAGTTTAGAAAGAGAAAGAAAATCTCCTGGTTGCTTGTTTACTTCCTCTATAAAACATGAAATTAGGCATTTTCACGTCGTAGTCGTGCAGTGACCAAAGAATGTACGAAAAACAGTGATGCACGTGCAGAGTTGTTACTTTGCTCATAAAACCTATTGTGTTTGAGACGCTTCTGTTCCGGTCGCCGTCGCAGTTTCGTAAGGTCCCTAACAATAGCGCCGCGATGAATCATTTTTTTAGCATTAGAAACCCCGCATATCACCCAACAAACAAGTCAGATTGCAACCCTAAACAGGCACATACACAAAACGCCTAAATTGCCACGGTAAACATTGTCTCTCACGTGAGATAAAAACTTTAAAACACTTTACCTCCGCAAAACAACTAAAACTATGCCAGAAAAACTATCCCTATAACATTTCCCATCTGCTGGGTCTAACACGTCCCAAACAAAACTATATAAAACATAAAAATCCACACCTTCAATTACACGTAAGACTGCGTTTACCTTGAGCTAACACTCGTGGACGAGGTTGTTGTAGTGGGTGTGGAAACACTAGAACTTGAGGAAGATGAAGTTGAGCTGCTCACACTGGAACTAGTTGAAGTAGAACTACTGACACTCGTACTCGAGGAAGTTGACGTGGAACTGCTCACACTTGAATATGTCGAGTACACTGTTGTAGTTGGTGTAGAAACGCTTGTACTTGAAGTACTGGATGATGTACTGCTTGACACACTTGAGCTGACACTCGTGGACGACGTTGTTGTAGTGGGTGTGGACACACTAGAACTTGAGGAAGATGAAGTTGAGCTGCTCACACTGGAACTAGTTGAAGTAGAACTACTGACACTCGTACTCGAGGAAGTTGACGTGGAACTGCTCACACTTGAATATGTCGAGTACACTGTTGTAGTTGGTGTAGAAACGCTTGTACTTGAAGTACTGGATGATGTACTGCTTGACACACTTGAGCTGACACTCGTGGACGAGGTTGTTGTAGTGGGTGTGGACACACTAGAACTTGAGGAAGTTGAAGTTGAGCTGCTCACACTGGAACTAGTTGAAGTAGAACTACTGACACTCGTACTCGAGGAAGTTGACGTGGAACTGCTCACACTTGAATATGTCGAGTACACTGTTGTAGTTGGTGTAGAAACGCTTGTACTTGAAGTACTGGATGATGTACTGCTTGACACACTTGAGCTGACACTCGTGGACGACGTTGTTGTAGTGGGTGTGGACACACTAGAACTTGAGGAAGATGAAGTTGAGCTGCTCACACTGGAACTAGTTGAAGTAGAACTACTGACACTCGTACTCGAGGAAGTTGACGTGGAACTGCTCACACTTGAATATGTCGAGTACACTGTTGTAGTTGGTGTAGAAACGCTTGTACTTGAAGTACTGGATGATGTACTGCTTGACACACTTGAGCTGACACTCGTGGACGAGGTTGTTGTAGTGGGTGTGGACACACTAGAACTTGAGGAAGTTGAGGTTGAGCTACTCACACTGGAACTAGTTGAAGTAGAACTACTGACACTCGTACTCGAGGAAGTTGACGTGGAACTGCTCACACTTGAATATGTCGAGTACACTGTTGTAGTTGGTGTAGAAACGCTTGTACTTGAAGTACTGGATGATGTACTGCTTGACACACTTGAGCTGACACTCGTGGACGAGGTTGTTGTAGTGGGTGTGGACACACTAGAACTTGAGGAAGTTGAGGTTGAGCTACTCACACTGGAACTAGTTGAAGTAGAACTACTGACACTCGTACTCGAGGAAGTTGACGTGGAACTGCTCACACTTGAATATGTCGAGTACACTGTTGTAGTTGGTGTAGAAACGCTTGTACTTGAAGTACTGGATGATGTACTGCTTGACACACTTGAGCTGACACTCGTGGACGACGTTGTTGTAGTAGGTGTGGACACACTAGAACTTGAAGAAGTTGAAGTTGAGCTGCTCACACTGGAACTAGTTGAAGTAGAACTACTGACACTCGTACTCGAGGAAGTTGACGTGGAACTGCTAACACTTGAATACGTCGAGTACACTGTTGTAGTTGGTGTAGAAATGCTTGTACTTGAAGTACTGGATGATGTACTGCTTGACACACTTGAGCTGACACTCGTGGAAGACGTTGTTGTAGTCGGTGTGGACACACTAGAACTTGTGGAAGATGAAGTTGAGCTGCTCACACTGGAACTAGTTGAAGTAGAACTACTGACACTCGTACTCGAGGAAGTTGACGTGGAACTGCTCACACTTGAATATGTCGAGTACACTGTTGTAGTTGGTGTAGAAACGCTTGTACTTGAAGTACTGGATGATGTACTGCTTGACACACTTGAGCTGACACTCGTGGACGACGTTGTTGTAGTGGGTGTGGACACACTAGAACTTGAGGAAGTTGAAGTTGAGCTGCTCACACTGGAACTAGTTGAAGTAGAACTACTGACACTCGTACTCGAGGAAGTTGACGTGGAACTGCTCACACTTGAATATGTCGAGTAAACTGTTGTCGTTGGTGTAGAAACGCTTGTACTTGAAGTACTGGATGATGTACTGCTTGACACACTTGAGCTGACACTCGTGGACGAGGTTGTTGTAGTGGGTGTGGACACACTAGAACTTGACGTGCTGGACGATGTACTGCTCGATACACTTGTACTGACTGATGTGGATGAAGTTGTTGTAGTGGGCGTCGAAACACTGGAGCTCGATGAAGTTGAAGTTGAGCTACTCACACTGGTACTTGAGGTTGTTGACGTGGAACTGCTAACACTTGAATATGTCGAGTATACTGTTGTCGTTGGTGTTGATACACTGGAACTTGACGAGCTGGAGGATGTACTTCTTGACACAGTTGTGCTGACACTCGTAGACGACGTAATTGTAGTAGGCGTAGACACACTGGAACTTGATGAAGTCGAAGTTGAGCTACTCACACTGGAACTTGATGATGTTGAAGTCGAACTGCTCACACTTGAGTACGTCGAATATACTGTTGTAGTGGGTGTGGACACGCTCGAACTCGTGGATGTTGAAGTTGAGGTTGAGCTACTTACACTTGAACTTGTTGAACTTGTGCTGAAAGCGGAGGAAGGTTGCAATAAAAAAAAAAAACGTTTGAGATCTATAGTAGCCCAGTTCTTCGGGTTGATTTATCTTAAGTGAGTATTGCTTTCCTTTCTTACGTGCAAACATAGTACCATACAGAGGATATTACACGGTGGTGCGAAGATATGAATTTTATTTTCGAGTGGCAAAACAATATTTTACGAACGAGCGCAGCGAGTGAGTAAAATATTGTTTTTGCCACGAGCAAATAAAATTCATATCTTCAAGCCGCCGTGTAATGTTCTTTTTATTACATAGACAAAAAGATATCGATAAAATAATAGAGGGAAATGACCGAAATTACGTCATCGATAAACTCACGTGTGAGATTATGGAAAATAAACCACTCGGGTCCCGGATGTAGTTTTTATGAATTTTACGAGTGGTATATTTTCCAGTAAAACACTCGTGTCTATATAACAAAAAGAATTATATTCCTTGGAAAAAGGTAATGAAGGCGACCACGAGAAATACCTTAGAGATTCTCTGCTCTTTTACCATTTTCTTAGCAACAGCTTTCGAAGGAAGATAATTTCTTCGTTTACGGACCTCTTTTATGCAATAATATTAAGATAACAAGCTAAACTAATTGATCACGGAACGAAATTGAGTTTGTTACCAATCAGTTTGGTCAAAGCGCCTTACAGGACGCGTGGGACTAAGACCAATAAGAGGAGAAAGTTGAGATGCGCCATAAATTTCGAATGCATTCTCTTATACCAGGGCTAGAAATGAACGCTCGCAAAAACGCAAACTGCGAGTGAGAAAAATGTCCACTAGAAAACGTTTGCGAGTTAGAATCATCCATGTCTCCCAAACCAAAGGGAAATAATTTGCTACTGCTCTCACCAGTTTGCTTGTGGAAAAAATCTGTCTACCAAAACTTTGCAAGTGCGCTAAAAAGTTAACTTCAAGCCCTGATTATACGAGACCATCAGTAAATATTCCTGATAATGCTTTCTTTATCATGCGATCAATTCCTCTTAAAATTACCATAATCCATTTTAACATGCAATTCGCCACTTTAAAAACCTGAAGAAAACCGCGCCGAGTTAACTTTCGCAAAGACTTCTGGAACTGTTATTAGAGAGCTTTAGATTCTGAGACGAAGACGACTATGACTACGAGATTTTCTCAATACCAAGTAGTGCTCACGCTTGAACCAGCGTCATTTTGGCGGGAAAACGTGGTAGCCGTCGTCATTCTACTACGAGTTTAAGCGAGAATGTCGTAGTGGAGGGAACAAGTTATCAAATGTAAGAAGTTTTATCATTTTGTTGTTGGGAGAAGGCTTTACTTCGTTCACTATAAATAACCGTACTAACTTTTTCGGTGAAAAAAAGTAAAATGAAGCTTTCCGAGGTGTCTTTTTTTTTTAGAACACGCGCAAAAACTTTGGAGAGTTACCTGCTAGATGAAGAACTTGTTCTCGAGGTTCGTGAGGGCGGTTTCAAGCTTGGTGGTGTTCTACTTGATGTACCAACAGTGTATACTGTCCCTGTAGTTCTGGTCACAGTAGATGGGTACACCGTGGCTGTACTCTTCTGAGAAACCGATTTATATGAAGTGGAAGTCGTCGACGAGGATACTGAACTTGAAGTAGAAGTGGATCTGAAAACAGAGTAAAGGAAATATAATTAACAACGACTTAAAACAGTCTATCGAACAAGGAAGAAAGCAAGAATAAAAATATAATGACAGTTAAGTATACAAAGCAATACTTTAGGATAAAGCGCCTGAAGTGATGAAAAAGCTTAACTTAGGCATTAGAGCAAAATACCGTGATGGCTTAACTGACAAACAACAAAGACAAATGGCTAACTTCACCAAGTAAGTCAACAACCAGAACTATTATATAGCTGGAATTTTTTTTCCCAACAGCTCGCGCGCATTAGCAACTTCGAGGTCACATGACATCTAACAATGAAACTGTTTCCGCCAAAATCTCTCAGCTGGCAACATTGCAAAATCTATGACGTCAGAGGGTAACAGTGCACTATTACCCACAAATGTTGATCGACGACCGCTGTTACAACGAGGTTTAATGAATTTCCAGCTATATAAAAATCAGTTAAAAACCGGTCCCTCGGGAAACAGTCATCAAGTGTTTATTAATACCCCAAGCTAACAACACTGTTTACTTTGAATCAGACAATGACTACCTACAAAAATTTCCCAGAGTTAGCCTAAGGGGCTCACAGTCACTCAAGAATAGGGACCGTACCATCCGATAACGGCGACGCCAATGAAAGCGTCGCTGAAAAATAGACTTCGCGTCCTTTGAAACTTTTCCGCCCTTTTACAAAGTCACCCAATTACTTGAAAAAGGTAGGTAAAGATGACGCAGAAGAGAAGGGACCGCGTCTAAGTTCAGAGAGAGATAGCAAAGAACTTTACCATCGACGACGTCGACAGTGGCGAAAATGTCACGTTCATTATGAATTCACGTTTTTTTTAACAATTTGTCGCGTTTAAAGCAATTCGCTGAAAAAGACAAATGTAGCCGAAGTTCGATGGAGTTGATTTCTTGGGGACCACATTCAAGTTTAGAAAGAGAAAGAAAATCTCGTGGTTGCTTGTTTACTTCCTGTATAAAACGTAAAATTAGGCATTTTCACGTCGTAGTCGTGCAGTGACGGCAAAGAAATGTACGAAAAAGAGTGATGCACGTGCAGAGTTGTTACTTTGCTCATAACAATGGCGCCGCGATGAAAGGTTTTTTTTTTATATGAGAAACCCCGCATCCCGCATTTCAACCAACAAACAAGTCAGATTGCAACCCTAACCAGGCACATACACAAGACATCTAAATTGCCACGGTAAACATTCTCTCAGGTGAGATAAGAACTTTAAAACACTTTGCCTACGCAAAACTACTACAAATATGCAAGAAAAACTATCCCTATAACATTTACCATTTTCTGGGTCTAAAACATCGCACACCAAATTATGTCAAACATAAAAATCCACACCTTCAATTACACCTAACACTACAGATACCTTGAGGTACTAGAAGCACTCGACGTCGTTGATTTGGATGCAGTTGTTGTCGTCGGCGTTGAAACACTGGAACTTGAACTACTGGATGATGTACTGCTTGACACACTTGAGCTGACACTCGTGGACGACGTTGTTGTAGTGGGTGTGGACACACTAGAACTTGAGGAAGTTGAAGTTGAGCTGCTCACACTGGAACTAGTTGAAGTAGAACTACTGACACTCGTACTCGATGAAGTTGACGTGGAAGTGCTAACACTTGAATATGTCGAGTACACTGTTGTAGTTGGTGTAGAAACGCTTGTACTTGAAGTACTGGATGATGTACTGCTTGACACACTTGAGCTGACACTCGTGGACGACGTTGTTGTAGTCGGTGTGGACACACTAGAACTTGTGGAAGTGGAAGTTGAGCTGCTCACACTGGAACTAGTTGAAGTAGAACTACTGACACTCGTACTCGAGGAAGTTGACGTGGAACTGCTCACACTTGAATATGTCGAGTACACTGTTGTAGTTGGTGTAGAAACGCTTGTACTTGAAGTACTGGATGATGTACTGCTTGACACACTTGAGCTGACACTCGTGGACGAGGTTGTTGTAGTAGGTGTGGACACACTAGAACTTGAAGAAGTTGAAGTTGAGCTGCTCACACTGGAACTAGTTGAAGTAGAACTACTGACACTCGTACTCGAGGAAGTTGACGTGGAACTGCTAACACTTGAATATGTCGAGTACACTGTTGTAGTTGGTGTAGAAACGCTTGTACTTGAAGTACTGGATGATGTACTGCTTGACACACTTGAGCTGACACTCGTGGACGAGGTTGTTGTAGTCGGTGTGGACACACTAGAACTTGTGGAAGTGGAAGTTGAGCTGCTCACACTGGAACTAGTTGAAGTAGAACTACTGACACTCGTACTCGAGGAAGTTGACGTGGAACTGCTAACACTTGAATATGTCGAGTACACTGTTGTAGTTGGTGTAGAAACGCTTGTACTTGAAGTACTGGATGATGTACTGCTTGACACACTTGAGCTGACACTCGTGGACGAGGTTGTTGTAGTAGGTGTGGACACACTAGAACTTGAAGAAGTTGAAGTTGAGCTGCTCACACTGGAACTAGTTGAAGTAGAACTACTGACACTCGTACTCGAGGAAGTTGACGTAGAACTGCTAACACTTGAATATGTCGAGTACACTGTTGTAGTTGGTGTAGAAACGCTTGTACTTGAAGTACTGGATGATGTACTGCTTGACACACTTGAGCTGACACTCGTGGACGACGTTGTTGTAGTGGGTGTGGACACACTGGAACTTGAGGAAGTGGAAGTTGAGCTGCTCACACTGGAACTAGTTGAAGTAGAACTACTGACACTCGTACTCGATGAAGTTGACGTGGAACTGCTAACACTTGAATATGTCGAGTACACTGTTGTAGTTGGTGTAGAAACGCTTGTACTTGAAGTACTGGATGATGTACTGCTTGACACACTTGAGCTGACACTCGTGGACGAGGTTGTTGTAGTAGGTGTGGACACACTAGAACTTGAAGAAGTTGAAGTTGAGCTGCTCACACTGGAACTAGTTGAAGTAGAACTACTGACACTCGTACTCGAGGAAGTTGACGTAGAACTGCTAACACTTGAATATGTCGAGTACACTGTTGTAGTTGGTGTAGAAACGCTTGTACTTGAAGTACTGGATGATGTACTGCTTGACACACTTGAGCTGACACTCGTGGACGACGTTGTTGTAGTGGGTGTGGACACACTAGAACTTGATGAAGTTGAAGTGCTAGAAGTGTGATAAATATTTAACAATTAACAATCATAAGTTCAATCTTTGTTACCCTTTCTTCTCTTATAATATGACACCCAGCGAGCTTAGCGTTTGGTGTATTTATAAGGATGGGATATCAATTATATATTCTCGTACAATGTCGTTTAACGAGCAACGACTTTGGAGAAAATTGGTTTCATTTTAACTGCTGCTTGTTGACTTTTGTCTTACTTTATTTTGTATTCTTAAGAGAAGCCTTTTGCATGGTCGTAGAGCATGGCACAATAAATACCAAAGATGATCGCTGATCAGACCGGTAAATGTCTTCGTGATAAACGATCTTTTGCCTTATTAAAGAGGTATCTCAGTATCTCTAAAGGGGAAACGGAAAAGGCGTATGCGGTGTTGGTGAAAGGCCAGTAAATTACTCGGCACTTAGAGTTTACTCGTGGAAATGATTTCTTCTGAACAATGGAAGTACTTAAGACAAAATCCATTGGAAAATTGAGTAATTTTAATTTTCAGTGGGCAAAAACCTTGTACCAGAATATTTTCAAGCATATTGCATTATTTTTCAGACTTTTCAATGGCTATAGATGTAATAAGTTGTCTGAAATAACTCCGAAGAAAAGATTTTTATTGGACCCCGAGAAAACGGCCGAAAAAGCAAACTTCAAAAGCCTCAAATTTCACAAAATGAGATCTTACGCATGACCATTTACCTGTGTTTTCTCAATTAATGTGAAATTTGAAATTTATTTTTTCGGGCTCCTATGGGAAAATTGTCTTTGGTGTTATTACAGTTAACTAATTACATCTAGAGCCGTTGAAAAGTGTAAAAAAGAACGCGATATGGCTTAAAATATTCTGGTACAAGGTTTTTGTCCAATGAAAATTAAAATTACTCAATTTCCTAATGGATTCCGTCACAACGTACATCATTATTCAAAGAAGAAGGGGGCGACAAAGGTCTTATTCAGTTTTTGATCAAATACTTTCCAACCGTCATGCTTGTCTGCTTTCACTTCATTCCAACCTCTTCTTTCAAACTCAGACTCCTGAGACACCATTTGCTGTTGCGGGTCCGTCGTTCCCTCTAAAGTGCTTTTCCTTAAAACAACGTCCCACATTTCCCGTAATCTCCTCAATAATCAAACGCTCACAAAGCCCATGGCAAAGACCTTCTTGATAAAACCCTTTACGTTGCTTTCGTGCCTGGTGGCTCAGGGAACATTTCCAGTTGGGCATCCATCGATCCTTTAATGCTACTTTTCCTTATAAAACCTCGCTTATTTACATCTGTACCCTCAATAAACAAAACCTCGCAAAGCTACTGAAAAAAACCTGCTTAATCAAGTGGTGGACCAGGCGTTCTACTTCGTTGAGAGACAATGCTCTATTTAATACCCAACCGACGCAAACCTCATTCAATAAGCCCTTCGCCTTTAAAAACGTTAATACAAAAGGCTAGTAACCTGCTAGATGAAGAACTTGATCTCGAGGTTCGTGACGGCGGTATCAAGCTTGGTGGTGTTCTACTTGATGTAGCAACAGTGTATGCTGTCCCTGTAGTCCTTGTTACAGTCGATGGGTACACCGTAGCTGTACTCTTCTGAGAAACCGATTTATATGAAGTGGATGTCGTCGAGGAAGACACCGAAGACGGAGAAGGGAATACTGGACTGGACTTTGATGTTGAGGAAGACACTGTAAACTCTGATTTCGATGAAGACACAGATGTCACTTTTGAAGATGGAGGAACTTGCGTGAATAGACTCGGTGAGCTAACGAATGAAATATGTGAGTTTATGAATTAAACATGTCTGGTCTCTTCCTTCTCTGTAGGGGTAGTAACACAACTCCTAGCAGTAACTAATCACTTCTTGTCGTCCACAATCATCACCGTCATCATCGTCATGACAACACCCTTTCTCGCCAACTATTTCATAAGTTTCCACGTAAACTATGATACTACGTGAACTGACTTAATTTCCATTTCCTACCAGAAAACGCGTCATAACTTTCTGTCAGTCATCAGGGAAAAACGGGGTCTTCTTGATAAAGCGCATCTTTATAAAACAATGAAGTTGATGTTTGCGACCATAAGAAGCAGCTAATACTCACTTCGGTACAACCATGCAATCTCATATGCACCTTTAGACAGCAATGTTCTAAACGTATTTTTCCACGTTTTCAAATCTCAGTTTTACCCACCTCGATATTACTGAATTTTGCTTAAGTCTTAAATATAAGTATCGCACTGCTTTGAAATGCTTGCAAATGAAACGTAAGATTTCTGAAGCAAAAGAGATCAAGAAAGCGAGTTAGATGACGCTATACTAATAAATGTAAAGGTGAACCAGAAATCAACATAAATACATATCAAGAGACGATACCACAACATGGTCCGTAGAATATCCAATCAGACGTTTGCCTTCCATTGTTCTCTCGCTAAATCACGGCATCCTTCACCACAATCCCCCAAAAAAGTTAAAAGGTAACAAGACACACACAAGATCGAGAAAACAGTGTTTCCTCTGAGGGGCAAAACTATTTTTACCTGGATGATGAGCTGGACGATGTACTGCTTGACACACTCGTGCTGATGCTTGAGGAAGTAGTCGTAGTGAGTGTAGACAGACTGGAGCTAGATGAAGTTGAAGTAGAGCTACTCACACTTGAACTAGATGATGTTGAAGTCGAGCTACTTGCACTCGAGTATGTCGAGTACACTGTGGTCGTCGGTGTGGACACACTTGAACTCGAAGTGCTAGAGGATGTACTGCTTGACACACTTGTACTCACCGATGTAGACGAAGTTGTCGTAGTTGGTGTTGACACACTGGAACTTGACGAAGTCGAAGTAGAGCTACTCACACTAGAACTTGAAGAAGTTGAAGTAGAGCTACTCACACTTGAGCTGGAAGATGTTGAAGTGGAACTACTCGCGCTTGAGTATGTCGAATACACTGTGGTCGTCGGTGTGGACACGCTTGAACTCGATGTGCTAGAGGATGTACTGCTTGACACACTTGTACTCACCGATGTAGACGAAGTTGTCGTAGTTGGTGTTGACACACTGGAACTTGACGAAGTCGAAGTAGAGCTACTCACACTAGAACTTGAAGAAGTTGAAGTAGAGCTACTCACACTTGAGCTGGAAGATGTTGAAGTGGAACTACTCGCGCTTGAGTATGTCGAATACACTGTGGTCGTCGGTGTGGACACGCTTGAACTCGATGTGCTAGAAGATGTACTGCTTGACACACTTGTACTCACCGATGTAGAGGAAGTTGTCGTAGTTGGTGTTGACACACTGGAACTTGACGAAGTCGAAGTAGAGCTACTCACACTTGAACTAGATGATGTTGAAGTCGAGCTACTTGCACTCGAGTATGTCGAGTACACTGTGGTCGTCGGTGTGGACACACTTGAACTCGAAGTGCTAGAGGATGTACTGCTTGACACACTTGTACTCACCGATGTAGACGAAGTTGTCGTAGTTGGTGTTGACACACTGGAACTTGACGAAGTCGAAGTAGAGCTACTCACACTAGAACTTGAAGAAGTTGAAGTAGAGCTACTCACACTTGAGCTGGAAGATGTTGAAGTGGAACTACTCGCGCTTGAGTATGTCGAATACACTGTGGTCGTCGGTGTGGACACGCTTGAACTCGATGTGCTAGAGGATGTACTGCTTGACACACTTGTACTCACCGATGTAGACGAAGTTGTCGTAGTTGGTGTTGACACACTGGAACTTGACGAAGTTGAAGTAGAGCTGCTCACACTAGAACTTGAAGAAGTTGAAGTAGAGCTACTCACACTTGAGCTGGAAGATGTTGAAGTGGAACTACTCGCGCTTGAGTATGTGGAATACACTGTGGTCGTCGGTGTGGACACGCTTGAACTCGAAGTGCTAGAGGATGTACTGCTTGACACACTTGTACTCACCGATGTAGACGAAGTTGTCGTAGTTGGTGTTGACACACTGGAACTTGTCGAAGTCGAAGTAGAGCTACTCACACTAGAACTTGAAGAAGTTGAAGTAGAGCTACTCACACTTGAGCTGGAAGATGTTGAAGTGGAACTACTCGCGCTTGAGTATGTGGAATACACTGTGGTCGTCGGTGTGGACACGCTTGAACTCGATGTGCTAGAGGATGTACTGCTTGACACACTTGTACTCACCGATGTAGAGGACGTTGTCGTAGTTGGTGTTGACACACTGGAACTTGACGAAGTCGAAGTAGAGCTGCTCACACTAGAACTTGAAGAAGTTGAAGTAGAGCTACTCACACTTGAGCTGGAAGATGTTGAAGTAGAGCTACTCACACTTGAGCTGGAAGATGTTGAAGTGGAACTACTCGCACTTGAGTATGTGGAATACACTGTGGTCGTCGGTGTGGACACGCTTGAACTCGATGTGCTAGAGGATGTACTGCTTGACACACTTGTACTCACCGATGTAGAGGACGTTGTCGTAGTTGGTGTTGACACACTGGAACTTGACGAAGTCGAAGTAGAGCTGCTCACACTAGAACTTGAAGAAGTTGAAGTAGAGCTACTCACACTTGAGCTGGAAGATATTGAAGTGGAACTACTCGCGCTTGAGTATGTCGAATACACTGTGGTCGTCGGTGTGGACACGCTTGAACTCGATGTGCTAGAGGATGTACTGCTTGACACACTTGTACTCACCGATGTAGAGGAAGTTGTCGTAGTTGGTGTTGACACACTGGAACTTGACGAAGTTGAAGTAGAGCTGCTCACACTAGAACTTGACGAAGTTGAAGTAGAGCTGCTCACCCTAGAACTAGAAGAAAATGAAGTAGAGCTACTCGCGCTTGAGCTGGAAGATGTTGAGGGTGAACTGCTCACGCTTGAATATGTCGAATACACTGTGGTCGTCGGTGTGGACACACTGAAACTTGATGTGCTGGATGATGTACTGCTTGAGACACTTGTGCTAACGCTCGTAGATGATGTCGATGTTGTAGTGGGAGTCGACACACTTGGACTCGAGGAAGTTGAAGTAAAACTACTCACACTGGAGCTTGATGATGTGGAAGTTGAGCTACTAACACTCGACGAGGTGGAGGAAGTACTGCTAGAAATGCGATAAATGTTTTTGTCAACAGCGGACAAATGAACATTTTAATTTATCACACCGCTTTGTAATTATGTAAGGTTAGGGATCAGTGAGTTCAATAACCATCTATACTCGTGCAACCCGATTTAACTAGAAAGAATAGCACGGAATCTTCTCTTCTGTCTCAATCTTCTCCTCATGTTATTGTCTGTTGGCTTCCGTTTAACCTTATCTGTCGATCTAAAATAATTATTCTCGCATAGACACAGAATGGCACATTTCAAGCTTTGATATGCCAGAGAACGTTCGTACGTCACAATCTTAGTGACTGAGAAATGCTCTCTAGGCCTTGGTCCTTTAGCTTTATTGAAAGGGAAATCTCGGAATGTGAAAGAGAATTGGAATAGGTGTCTGCTGTGTTGTCTATGACAGGCCAGTAACTTACTTAGAAATTCGAGGTTGCTCCTGAACATCGTTTATAGCATTTCCTAGACATGTGACGGACGGAAAACGGGAACGACAAACGCATACTTGAGATGCAGTAGCAAAATTATACTTTCCCCGACCTTCCAACCTCCAAACCATCAATTTATTCCAACCTCTTTTTTGTTGTTTTCGAAAAGCCAGTTCTCCATTTTTATATCCATGTTATAGGGAATCCCATAAATTTTTGTGAATGTATGAGTACTGGAACATTGGACTTTATCTTTACCTTTACCATCATTACGACTAACTAAGTAAATATGACGGGTATGATTGCAGATGGTACGATCGTTCGATCACTGTAAGGCGTTGGTCCTTATGAAAACGTCCCCTTTTGCAACAATCCTCTCAATGATCAAAACCTCATGAAACCCATGGCAATAACCTGCGTGATAAAACGCCTTAAAGTTGGTTTCGTGCCTAATTGCACCGGAATAATTTACACAAGGGCTCCTCGATCACTTTGATCAAACTCTCATAATCAACACCCCTTTACTTTAACCCATACCCTCAACAATTATAACCTCAAAAAACTGATAATAACCTGCTGGGTGTAGTGCTGGACTTTGATGTTCGCGACGGGGGTTTTAAGCTTGGTGGTGTTCTACTTGAGGTAGCAACAGTGTATTGTGTCCCTGTAGTCCTGGTCACAGTAGATGGGTAAACAGTGGCTGTGCTCTTCTGAGAAACCGATTTATATGAAGTGGATGTCGTCGAGGAAGACACCGAAGAGCTAAACGAATGAAATATGCGAGTTTATAAATTCCCAATGAGACCTGTATTTCTTTCTGAAGTTAACGGTTTAACAACGCCCATGTGGTGATTTCACAAAATCCTGGCAACATCTTAGAACTTCAAAAACCTGCGGACCTCTTGTCACTCATAACCTGGTAAATCAATACATATACATACCACTGCGGTGACTATCACCGCGAACAAATTATACCACTACCTGCATAAAACCTAGCATCAGTACTAATGTGGCCATCCTTATTTTCACCCCGATTTCTGACGCCAATGTCGTTCCTCCTTTCGCTACAACGTTTCTCAGCTTCTTCATTGATATCGTCGTCATTTCTTACCTAGTCATTTAGGATTTTATTGACTATTACAACACTTATCTGTCCTTTTGGACAAAAGCGTGTTTCACCCAGAAGGGTTTTAGGATGACTTCACCAATGGAGAAGAATTCAACAACTACGTCTTAGCCTGCCGGCATAGCAACGAAAACATTCCGGACCTACTCTCTTCTTGCAAGGCAGGAAAAATGCCTAACTGATTTCCATGTGAATAAATTGGCCTCTGCAACTACTTATCGTACGCTTTTCAGATCGTGTTCTTTTTCCTATTTAGCAAATGAATTGAATAAACTTCGTCACTCTACCAAACAAAAACCTTTTAGTGACAAAACATTATGCATTCTTTCTTTACTTGCCCCTTATGGCAAAACTTTTCAAAGTTTATCGATACTGTAATTCGAAAACTAAAACGCATGGTGAGGAGAAGACCCCTTAAAAGCTAAATAGGAAAAAAAAATAAAAAATAAACAAAATCCATCGCTCCGAACACGGGAAAAAGAGTGTGTCATTAGCTTTTTATTCTCCAATGCATGTTGGGTGCTTCTATACCGTATCAACCTGCACATGCAAGGACGTCAAGTACCCAGATAAGTTTAAAACTTTACCATCACGCATCATTAACACCTAATTGGTTTCCATCTATCGTCAGCCACTGAAGACCCTCATAGCTGAAATCACTAGACCAAGTTTTTTCCATATTCAAAATAAATAATCCCACACGGACAACGCAATACCTAAACCACGATTTCCGTGTGTAGCTCTAAGGCTAAAATCCAGCATCCTTAAAAACCGATTGAGTATATATTATACCCTATGATAAAAAAATATCCTTACCTCGATGATGGACTGGACGATGTACTTCTTGACACACTCGAACTGATGCTGGAGGATGTAGTCGTTGTGGGTGTGGACACACTAGAACTCGACGAAGTCGAACTACTCAAACTTGATGATGTTGAAGTCGAACTGCTAACACTTGAATATGTCGAGTAAACTGTTGTTGTTGGCGTGGAAACACTCGTGCTCGATGTGCTAGAAGATGTACTACTTGAAATACTTGAGACTGATGGGGATGATTGATGTGATGAAGTTGTTGTGACGAAGTTGAAGTAGGTGTCGAGAACTCGATGATGTTGAACTTGATGAACTGTTGTTGTTGGCGTTGAAGTAGAAGAGCTACTTGAAATACACACTGATGTAGATGAAGTTGTTGTAGTAGGTGTTGAACTCAATGATGTTGAAGTCGAACTGCTAACACTTGAATATGTCGTGTAAACTGTTGTTGTTGGCGTGGAAACACTCGTGCTCGATGTGCTAGAAGATGTACTACTTGAAATACTTGAGCTGACTGATGTAGATGAAGTTGTTGTAGTAGGTGTCGACACACTGGAACTTGATGAAGTTGAAGTAGAGCTACTCACACTGGAACTTGACGAAGTTGAAGTAGAGCTACTCACACTGGAACTTGACGAAGTTGAAGTAGAGCTACTCAGACTGGAACTTGATGAAGTTGAAGTAGAGCTACTCACACTGGAACTTGACGAAGTTGAAGTAGAGCTACTCACACTGGAACTTGACGAAGTTGAAGTAGAGCTACTCACACTGGAACTTGACGAAGTTGAAGTAGAGCTACTCACACTGGAACTCGATGATGTTGAAGTCGAACTGCTAACACTTGAATATGTCGAGTAAACTGTTGTTGTTGGCGTGGAAACGCTTGTGCTCGATGTGCTAGAAGATGTACTACTTGAAATACTTGAGCTGACTGATGTAGATGAAGTCGTTGTAGTAGGTGTCGACACACTTGATGAAGTTGAAGTAGAACTACTCACACTGGAACTTGACGATGTTGAGGTAGAGCTACTCACACTGGAACTCAATGATGTTGAAGTCGAACTGCTAACACTTGAATATGTCGAGTAAACTGTTGTTGTTGGCGTGGAAACACTCGTGCTCGATGTGCTAGAAGATGTACTACTTGAAATACTTGAGCTGACTGATGTAGATGAAGTTGTTGTAGTAGGTGTCGACACACTGGAACTTGATGAAGTTGAAGTAGAGCTACTCACACTGGAACTTGACGAAGTTGAAGTAGAACTTGACGAAGTTGAAGTAGAGCTACTCACACTGGAACTTGATGAAGTTGAAGTAGAGCTACTCACACTGGAACTCGATGATGTTGAAGTCGAACTGCTACCACTTGAATATGTCGAGTAAACTGTTGTTGTTGGCGTGGAAACGCTTGTGCTCGATGTACTAGAAGATGTACTGCTTGAAATACTTGAGCTGACTGATGTGGACGAAGTTGTTGTGGTGGGTGTGGACACACTGGAACTTGATGAAGTTGAAGTAGAGCTACTCACACTTGAACTCAACGATGTTGAAGTCGAACTGCTAACACTTGAATATGTCGAGTAAACTGTTGTTGTTGGCGTGGAAACACTCGTGCTCGATGTACTAGAAGATGTGCTACTTGAAATACTTGAGCTGACTGATGTAGATGAAGTTGTTGTAGAAGGTGTCGACACACTGGAACTTGATGAAGTTGAAGTAGAGCTACTCACACTGGAACTTGACGAAGTTGAAGTAGAGCTACTAACACTGGAACTTGACGAAGTTGAAGTAGAGCTACTCACACTGGAACTTGACGAAGTTGAAGTAGAGCTACTCACACTGGAACTCGATGATGTTGAAGTCGAACTGCTAACACTTGAATATGTCGAGTAAACTGTTGTTGTTGGCGTGGAAACACTCGTGCTCGATGTGCTAGAAGATGTACTACTTGAAATACTTGAGCTGACTGATGTAGATGAAGTTGTTGTAGTAGGTGTCGACACACTGGAACTTGATGAAGTTGAAGTAGAGCTACTCACACTGGAACTTGACGAAGTTGAAGTAGAGCTACTCACACTGGAACTTGACGAAGTTGAAGTAGAGCTACTCACACTGGAACTCGATGATGTTGAAGTCGAACTGCTAACACTTGAATATGTCGAGTAAACTGTTGTTGTTGGCGTGGAAACGCTTGTGCTCGATGTGCTAGAAGATGTACTACTTGAAATACTTGAGCTGACTGATGTAGATGAAGTCGTTGTAGTAGGTGTCGACACACTTGATGAAGTTGAAGTAGAACTACTCACACTGGAACTTGACGATGTTGAGGTAGAGCTACTCACACTGGAACTCAATGATGTTGAAGTCGAACTGCTAACACTTGAGTATGTCGAGTAAACTGTTGTTGTTGGAGTGGAAACGCTCGTGCTCGATGTACTAGAAGATGTACTGCTTGAAATACTTGAGCTGACTGATGTAGATGAAGTTGTTGTCGTAGGTGTCGACACACTTGTACTTGATGAAGTTGAAGTAGAGCTACTAACGCTGGAACTCGATGATGTTGAAGTCGAACTGCTCACACTTGAATATGTCGAGTAAACTGTTGTAGTTGGCGTTGATGCACTGGAAAAAATTTACAGAAAAGCGTCATTCACTGGCAGGGTTGTTTTGATCAACAAACTAATGATTATTGCTTCTTTAACATTCCCGTGACCATCGCCGTTGTAGTTTCGTAAGGTCCCCTTTTTACTCGGTATGGATCTTCGAAAAATAAAGTTAGCACATCCTAAGAAGTACTCTTTTCACACTTGAACGAAAGGAAACATTTTACAGGCCAATGACTTTGATTGTGTTTAAGGGCACGATAAGCTTACGAGATTCACGCTTTTCATGAAATATCTTCTAGCCCTGATCCTCAGCTAAACGCAAGCACTTTTGTCAAACATAAAGGCATTTGGAAATGACAAATACTAAATTCCGCGTTGATCGCATGTCTGGACATGAGTGTTTGAGGATATGGTGTATGAATAAGCAAATCTGCCGGGTGTTTGTATATGGTACAGCTAGTTAACAACAAAAACGCCTGCTACATCAACATGCACGGCTGTTACAAGAGCATCATTATACCAGTTTATTTCCCTTATGTGATTCCCGAGCCTTATTTATCAACACTGATTTACTGGTCAACATTCCCAGTCTAATCCCTTGGTTTTCAGCTCGGTCAACCTTGGACTCTACCGTGAGTTGTGCGTCTCCAACAGAGACTTCTCCACCATTTTCCAAACTTCGCGCTGACAACGAGGCAAGAGGCAAAGCCTGGAACTAGGCTGCCTTGTCCCCTTAGCTATCCCTCACGACTTCTTAAAAAGTAATTTAATTTAGGTTTCTGGGAAACTGCCCATCTACCCCTCCCCTAAGCCAACATTAACACTAACTTCTCGTTTAGGACAAAATGCTGATTTAGGGGGGGGGGGGGTTAGGTGGGCAGTTTCCCAGAAACCAAACTGATCCGAAACTCCGGGTAGATATACAGAGTCTGTCTGTCTGTCAAAACATTTCTAAAATTAACAAAAATTGCTTGGAGAGTTACCTGCTAGATGAAGAACTTGTTCTCGAGGTTCGTGAGGGCGGTTTCAAGCTTGGTGGAGTTCTACTTGATGTACCAACAGTGTATACTGTCCCTGTAGTTCTGGTCACAGTAGATGGGTACACGGTGGCTGTACTCTTCTGAGAAACTGATTTATATGAAGTGGAAGTTGTCGAGGAGGATACTGAACTTGATGTAGAAGTGGAACTACACGAAGATATAATGAATAATATAATCAGTGAAAAGAGTGTGAAGATTACCAAACAATTTTCGGCTTTTCATAAAATCACCCATGATGTAATGTACCCCTTCAATGTGAATCTGCATCAAAACCATTATAGCATTACTTAAATATAGCATTCAAGACGTCGTGATGGTGATTAAGATATTTGCATGAACTACAAAACATAATAACAGCTAAACATTTGCATCTATGAAAACAACCTGAAGCCTGATATTTTTTTTAAGCCTTCTCTTCGCAACTGCAAAAGTTGCGTCTATGACTGCGATGATCGTCTTTCATTTAATTCTGCCCCCCTCCCCCGGCAGTTCCTATAAATGATTTTCATACATTCATTATTTCATCCTCATCCTTTTCATGTGTTTATAACGAACTAACTCAATGATATCTCGGTATCTCAGAGATCACGCGCTCGAATCCCATACAAGCCTGGCTTTTTTTCGGGTTTTCGTTTGGAAGCCGCAAACTTTGTGTCTTATAGACGCGATGGTCTTCTTTTATTTAAACAGGACGTTTCTGGAAAACAGCCAAGCCAACAAAACAACAAGTGGACTACACAAAAATAGAAACAACTCAAGTAGAAAAAAAAGGAACTCAAAAAGGTAACTATCACAATAACTTAAAATGACCACCCGGAAAATCAACCCAGAGCGCGCCAAGTATATTAAATTAAAAACCTAACGAACACGGAGAGTATATAATCTCGTTTCCATTGTTCAATCAAAAATCTACAACTTCAGTTATAACTCGTGTTAAGTTCTTACCTTGAAACACTAGTTGTCGTTGGTGTGGATACACTTGAACTTGATGCGCTAGACGATGTACTACTTGACACACTTGTACTTAGACTGGTAGAAGAAGTGGTGGTAGTAGGCGTGGACACACTAGAGCTTGATGAAGTTGAAGTAGAACTACTCACACTGGAACTAGATGAGATTGAAGTAGAGCTACTGAGACTGGAACTCGATGAAGTTGAAGTTGAACTACTCACACTTGAATATGTCGAGTACACTGTTGTCGTTGGTGTTGAAACGCTTGTACTTGAAGTACTGGATGATGTACTGCTTGACACACTTGTGCTGACACTCGTAGATGAAGTTGTTGTAGTGGGTGTGGACACACTGGAACTTGAAGACGTTGACGTTGAACTACTGACACTGGAACTTGACGAAGTTGAAGTCGAACTGCTCACACTTGAATATGTCGAGTACACTGTTGTCGTTGGTGTGGAAACGCTTGAGCTTGAAGAGCTGGATGATGTACTGCTTGACACACTGCTGCTAACGCTCGTAGATGAAGTTGTTGTAGTGGGTGTGGACACACTGGAGCTTGAGGAAGTTGACGTTGAACTACTGACACTCGAACTGCTCACACTGGAACTTGACGAAGTTGAAGTCGAACTGCTCACACTTGAATATGTAGAATAGACAGTTGTAGTTGGTGTGGAAACACTTGAGCTTGAAGAGCTGGATGATGTACTACTCGACACACTACTGCTAACGCTCGTAGATGAAGTTGTTGTAGTGGCTGTGGACACACTGGAGCTTGAGGAACTTGACGTTGAACTACTGACACTGGAACTTGACGAAGTTGAAGTTGAACTGCTAAAACTTGAATATGTTGAGTAAACTGTTGTAGTTGGTGTGGAAACACTTGAGCTTGAAGAGCTGGATGATGTACTACTTGACACACTGGTGCTGACACTCGTGGATGACGTTGTTGTTGTTGGTGTGGACACACTTGAACTCGACGTAGTTGAAGTTGAGCTACTCACACTAGAGCTGGATGATGTTGATGTTGAACTGCTTAAACTGGAAGTCGACGAGGTTAACGTTGAGCTACTCACACTGGAGCTGGAAGAAGTTGAAGTTGAACTGCTCACAGTTGAACTAGACGAGCTTGTCGAACTGTAAGTGGTGAAAGGTTTGTAAACAGTGGTTAGTTTGACTTCTGAATTGCTATGCCATATATTGAGACCTTTAGATTCGAGGACGAGGACGACTACAAGTACGAGATTTGGCTTGAAGTTTTTTCGGGTCTTCTCAAAATATCACTTCCCGGTAAGCTTCATTTTACAATTTTTCACCAGAAAAGTTAGCATTGTTATCTTTAGTAAAGGAGGTTACACCCTCTCCTGAACGCAAAATGATAAAACATGTAACATTTGATATCTTGCTTTCGCCAGCACGACATTCGCGCTAAAACTCGTAGTAGAATGACGACAGCTACAATGTTTCCCGCCAAAATGACGCTGACTCACGCGCATGCAACACTTAGTATTGAGAAAATCTCGTACTCGTCTTAGAATCTAAAGGTCTCTATTAGCATGCGTTGCAGACGTTATCTAACCTCGGCTAGTAATTTCTGTGAAGCAGCGCTAACTCCTCTTTCTGGGCCTCAACGGACTCAACAAATTACCAGAAATGCGTTTTGTATTTCCCTTCCACCCGACTGACATTAATTGAATTTTTTTTTAAGCAAGTCATTCATGGCGCGTACTCGAATCTTGGTACCAACCTGGGACACAGAACAAGGATTTTGGCGTTGGTTCGCACACGGACTTGACAAGAGATTTAGTTTCGTCTGTGCGCAGGGTAGCCATAAATAAGACTTTATTTTATAGAAGGGATTTCTTTTGGTCTACGTAGCACAAAACAGACACAGACCATTATCAGTTATTACAACTGAAGTGAAAAGGAAACTACACTTTCAGCATTACGTAACGACTACAAACTTCCTATGGGGATGTTTTTAGGTTGTCCATTTCGACGTTCAGCCAAATCATCCCAACTTTTCTTACTTCTGGATGGCTGGTGAAGATCATTTATTTTCTTCAAATCAAATTCTGTGATTACGAGATCATGTTAATCCTTAATGCAAGCTAACCTTCGAATGGAGAATCGTTAGTACAACAAGTAATTATGCCTCCCTTAGCATTTCGATTGACAGTCTATTGAAACGGCTTATCATATTACGCAATTGGGTCATATTTCTTAGGGAGCTCATGAAACGAAGACGGCGACATCAACGAGAACAGCAAAAAGGCAATACGTTTAGATTAGCAAAACAACAACTCCGCACGTGCATCACGCTTTTTTGTATATTTCTTTGCTGTCTGTGCACGACTACGGGGTGAAAATGCATAATTAAACGTTTTGGGGAGGACGTGAACACAAGACGACGACATTCTTTTTCTTTTCCTGAACTTTGATACAGTCTTTTAGAATTAATCTGCAGAAAAAAATGCCAACATTTGACGAATTGAACGACATGGAATAAGCGCGATAAAGTTTGAAGCAGAGCGACTTCACTTTTCAAGTGAGGTCTTCGCAACTGTCGCCTTCGTTGTTGCTTAAGATCGATAAAAAGTAATCCAGACGGCGACGGCGATGGTGACAGCAGCGAGACCGTCACTTAAAAAGTCAACTCGCGGTGTTTGAAAGCGCATCAGTATAATTCCATCTGTTTAGCACGTCGGATAGTCATATTTTCCTTTAGTTTAATTCGTACAACACGTTCTCACGTTCAGAAAAAAATTCGTCGTCTTTTGTAGTTGTCCTCCACTAAACGTAAACTTCAGTAACTGTACGACGTAGTGGTCTAATGACAAAAGAGAAATTTACCAAAAAGTTTGATACACGTGCAGAGTTGCTGCTTTGCTTATAAGAGCTTTTAGTTTTTCGCTGCTTTCGCATAAATCAACAAGGCTAGTAACCTGCTCGGTGAGCTTAATCTCGAGGTTCGTGACGGCGGTTTCAAGCTTGGTGGCGTCCTACTCGATGTTCCTACAGTGTATTGTGTCCCTGTAGTCCTCGTCACAGTAGATGGGTACACAGTGGCTGTGCTCTTCTGAGAAACCGATTTATATGAAGTGGAAGTCGTCGAAGAGGATGGCGAGCTTGATGTAGAAGTGGAACTGAGGAAGAGTATAATTAATTTAGTCGGTTAAACGCCATTATTAGTTCCTACCAGAATGCATGGTAACTTAAACAAAGAGAGACAGCAATCAAATGTAAGCAAAAAGGCACGATAACAAAAATAACACTTAGATGGTTAAAGGAAGCCACAAAAAAGTCACCAGAGCAAGTGCACGTTTACAGTTTGTTTCTTTTTACTAAGCATCCATTGAAAAATAAGTTACGTGATAAAAATAAAGTAACAGGCAAGTGTATAATGAGAATAAATTTTGCCTGAAAAGATGGGGATATCCATTCAAGCCAATTTGTGTTTATAAAAAACAAAACAGAAACAAAACAATTTTCAAGAAAACACGTGATACTTGACTCTTCTTAACGTACACCTCGAGTTGTCACTCGTCTCTCGTTGACGTTAACGTTTTTATTAACATATTAGTGCAAAGGCGTTGTCAGCCACAAATGGTCGCAGTTGGAATAATGGACGTAGTTGGTGTTCCGTCGGTTTTGCGAATTGCCTCCCACGCAGACGTTCGTTTGGGTCATCCGGCAATTCTCCCTGACGAACCTCGTTCGAGGAACAGGAACGCGTAACGAACCCCTAAGAATGTCTAAGTAGGAGGCTACTTTGCAAATTGCGAAAGTACTAACTAGGTCATTTAAAACAACATAGCACAGCACTTAAAGTCTCTTAAACAAAACTAACCCAAAATTGAAAGTAATAGAACGCATCACCCATGTTCTACCCTCGAATCAACTGAGAAACGACCAGTCTAATCGTGATATACTTGAGCAACTGAGACAACAAACAGAAACTTTGCAGCATTTCAGTAATCTTTAAAAGGAAACTTTGTATGACCTTGTCCGGGAAGGTAAAAGAAATAACCGTAAAAACTATAATTCACGGGGACGTTCTCATTCAAGAACTCAATATGCTTGACGTATGCATATTACATTGTTTACAAACAGCGTAGGAAAAATAGAAAAAGAGAATATACGAAAACGAAAGTGCCTAAACGAGAACCAGAGAGAAAGCACCAAAACATAACTACTACAGAGTATCAGAGTATACCTCTAACATGAAAATCGCAGTGTTTGCCCTTTAAAAAAACTCAGTATAGTTAATTTCCATAATCTGATAAGCACATTGAGACTTCGACTATATAATTCAATTCTGAGTGTAAATCTACGATTTACAGCCACTAGCATACTGCGTTCATACCTTGAAGTACTAGAACTGCTCACACTTGAATACGTAGAGTACACCGTAGTTGTTGGTGTGGACACACTCGAACTAGACGAGCTGGATGATGTACTGCTTGACACAATTGAGCTGACGCTCGTAGAAGATGAAGTTGTTGTGGTGGGTGTTGAAACACTGGAACTCGACGAAGTCGACGTGGAACTACTTACACTAGAACTTGACGAAGAAGTAGTCGAACTGCTCGCACTTGAGTATGTCGAGAACACTGTTGTCGTTGGTGTTGATACACTCGAACTAGACGAGCTGGATGACGTACTGCTTGACAGACTGGAGCTGACGCTCGTAGAAGATGAAGTTGTTGTAGTTGGCGTCGACACACTAGAACTTGATGATGTTGAAGTAGAGCTACTGACACTGGTACTCGACGAAGTTGAGGTTGAACTACTCACACTAGAACTGGATGAAGTGGAAGTTGAACTGCTCGCACTTGAATATGTCGAGTAAACCGTTGTGGTTGGTGTGGATACACTGGAACTTGATGTGCTTGATGACGTACTGCTTGACACACTTGAGCTGACGCTCGTAGAAGATGAAGTTGTTGTAGTTGGCGTCGACACACTAGAACTTGATGATGTTGAAGTAGAGCTACTGACACTGGTACTCGACGAAGTTGAGGTTGAACTACTCACACTAGAACTGGATGAAGTGGAAGTTGAACTGCTCGCACTTGAATATGTCGAGTAAACCGTTGTGGTTGGTGTGGATACACTGGAACTTGACGTGCTTGATGATGTACTGCTTGACACACTTGAGCTGACGCTTGTAGAAGATGAAGTTGTTGTAGTTGGCGTCGACACACTAGAACTTGATGATGTTGAAGTAGAGCTACTGACACTGGTACTCGACGAAGTTGAGGTTGAACTACTCACACTAGAACTGGATGAAGTGGAAGTTGAACTGCTCGCACTTGAATATGTCGAGTAAACCGTTGTGGTTGGTGTGGATACACTGGAACTTGACGTGCTTGATGATGTACTGCTTGACACACTTGAGCTGACGCTTGTAGAAGATGAAGTTGTTGTAGTTGGCGTCGACACACTAGAACTTGATGATGTTGAAGTAGAGGTACTGACACTGGTACTCGACGAAGTTGAGGTTGAACTACTCACACTAGAACTGGATGAAGTGGAAGTTGAACTGCTCACACTTGAATATGTCGAGTAAACCGTTGTGGTTGGTGTGGATACACTGGAACTTGACGTACTTGATGATGTACTGCTTGACACACTGGAGCTGACGCTTGTAGAAGATGAAGTTGTTGTAGTTGGCGTCGACACACTAGAACTTGATGATGTTGAAGTAGAGCTACTGACACTGGTACTCGACGAAGTTGAGGTTGAACTACTCACACTAGAACTGGATGAAGTGGAAGTTGAACTGCTCGCACTTGAATATGTCGAGTAAACCGTTGTGGTTGGCGTGGACACACTGGAACTTGATGAGCTTGACGACGTACTGCTTGACACACTTGAGCTGACGCTCGTAGAAGATGAAGTTGTTGTAGTTGGCGTCGACACACTAGAACTTGATGATGTTGAAGTAGAGCTACTGACACTGGTACTCGACGAAGTTGAGGTTGAACTACTCACACTAGAACTGGATGAAGTGGAAGTTGAACTGCTCGCACTTGAATATGTCGAGTAAACCGTTGTGGTTGGCGTGGACACACTGGAACTTGATGAGCTTGACGACGTACTGCTTGACACACTTGAGCTGACGCTCGTAGAAGATGAAGTTGTTGTAGTTGGCGTCGACACACTAGAACTTGATGATGTTGAAGTAGAGCTACTGACACTGGTACTCGACGAAGTTGAGGTTGAACTACTCACACTAGAACTGGATGAAGTGGAAGTTGAACTGCTCGCACTTGAATATGTCGAGTAAACCGTTGTGGTTGGTGTGGATACACTGGAACTTGACGTGCTTGATGATGTACTGCTTGACACACTTGAGCTGACGCTTGTAGAAGATGAAGTTGTTGTAGTTGGCGTCGACACACTAGAACTTGATGATGTTGAAGTAGAGCTACTGACACTGGTACTCGACGAAGTTGAGGTTGAACTACTCACACTAGAACTGGATGAAGTGGAAGTTGAACTGCTCGCACTTGAATATGTCGAGTAAACCGTTGTGGTTGGTGTGGATACACTGGAACTTGACGTACTTGATGATGTACTGCTTGACACACTGGAGCTGACGCTTGTAGAAGATGAAGTTGTTGTAGTTGGCGTCGACACACTAGAACTTGATGATGTTGAAGTAGAGCTACTGACACTGGTACTCGACGAAGTTGAGGTTGAACTACTCACACTAGAACTGGATGAAGTGGAAGTTGAACTGCTCGCAGTTGAATATGTCGAGTAAACCGTTGTGGTTGGCGTGGACACACTGGAACTCGATGAGCTTGACGACGTACTGCTTGACACACTTGAGCTGACGCTCGTAGAAGATGAAGTTGTTGTAGTTGGCGTCGACACACTAGAACTTGATGATGTTGAAGTAGAGCTACTGACACTGGTACTCGACGAAGTTGAGGTTGAACTACTCACACTAGAACTGGATGAAGTGGAAGTTGAACTGCTCGCACTTGAATATGTCGAGTAAACCGTTGTGGTTGGCGTGGACACACTGGAACTTGATGAGCTTGATGACGTACTGCTTGACACACTTGAGCTGACGCTCGTAGAAGATAAAGTTGTTGTAGTTGGCGTCGACACACTAGAACTTGATGATGTTGAAGTAGAGCTACTGACACTGGTACTCGACGAAGTTGAGGTTGAACTACTCACACTAGAACTGGATGAAGTGGAAGTTGAACTGCTCGCACTTGAATATGTCGAGTAAACCGTTGTGGTTGGCGTGGACACACTGGAACTTGACGTGCTTGATGATGTACTGCTTGACACACTTGAGCTGACGCTTGTAGAAGATGAAGTTGTTGTAGTTGGCGTCGACACACTAGAACTTGATGATGTTGAAGTAGAGCTACTGACACTGGTACTCGACGAAGTTGAGGTTGAACTACTCACACTAGAACTGGATGAAGTGGAAGTTGAACTGCTCGCACTTGAATATGTCGAGTAAACCGTTGTGGTTGGTGTGGACACACTGGAACTTGACGTACTTGATGATGTACTGCTTGACACACTGGAGCTGACGCTTGTAGAAGATGAAGTTGTTGTAGTTGGCGTCGACACACTAGAACTTGATGATGTTGAAATAGAGCTACTGACACTGGTACTCGACGAAGTTGAGGTTGAACTACTCACACTAGAACTGGATGAAGTGGAAGTTGAACTGCTCGCACTTGAATATGTCGAGTAAACCGTTGTGGTTGGCGTGGACACACTGGAACTTGATGAGCTTGATGATGTACTGCTTGATACACTTGAGCTGACGCTCGTAGAAGATGAAGTTGTTGTAGTTGGCGTCGACACACTAGAACTTGATGACGTTGAAATAGAGCTACTGACACTGGTACTCGACGAAGTTGAGGTTGAACTACTCACACTAGAACTGGATGAAGTGGAAGTTGAACTGCTCGCACTTGAATATGTCGAGTAAACCGTTGTGGTTGGCGTGGACACACTGGAACTTGATGAGCTTGATGATGTACTGCTTGACACACTTGAGCTGACGCTCGTAGAAGATGAAGTTGTTGTAGTTGGCGTCGACACACTAGAACTTGATGATGTTGAAGTAGAGCTACTGATACTGGTACTCGACGAAGTTGAGGTTGAACTACTCACACTAGAACTGGATGAAGTGGAAGTTGAACTGCTCGCACTTGAATATGTCGAGTAAACAGTTGTGGTTGGCGTGGACACACTGGAACTTGACGAGCTTGATGATGTACTGCTTGACACACTTGTGCTAACGCTGGTCGAGGAGGTTGTAGTGGTTGGTGTCGAGACACTAGAACTTGACGAGGTTGAAGTAGAGCTACTCACACTGGAACTCGAGGAAGTTGAAGTTGAACTGCTAACACTTGAATACGTTGAGTAAATTGTTGTAGTGGGTGTGGACACACTTGAACTGGAGGAAGTTGATGTTGAGCTACTCACACTGCTACTTGACGTAGTTGAAGTGGAGCTGCTAGAGCTTGAAGTACTGTGTAATGGGGTTAACAAAATGATATCATTATTACTATTTATCAGTATTTCATTCAGTTATCGTAATTACAGTTTACAAAAGCTAGTTAGTACAATACAGGATGTTTTCAGCATAACTGATCATAGCTAGTGATATAATGAGAACGACGGATGTGGCCTTGCTAACAAACAACCTTTCCGAAGCTTATTGGAAAGGTACCCGAACCATGTTTCCTTTCCCAAGTGCCAACCTAGGTCATTTACATTAGTTTTTTTTCTAACACTTGTAACATGAACAACGGACATTTCTCAAGCAATCTTTTATGCTTGGAATAGCATCTCCCTCCGACTCGCCTCCCTTCTCTTTAGTTTATTTTATGCGTTCCAATTGATGAGAGCTTAACAATGTAAAATTTACTCTGAACCTTGGAAAAGTTGATGTGTCAACATCACCTTCAGAATTTAAAGATTAGCCTTGGCCCTAAGGCCAGCGACGCCCTTTCGTTTCGGAGAGCTTAAAAGCCTTGGATTACCGGTTCATTCAGTTACCTTTGTACACCCTAAAGACTACTGACATCCAATTGTTACTAACAATATCGCTGGCTGTAACAGACAGATCATTACAGTATAAGGAAATGATCTACGCAAGAAACATGAGGTCAGTTTGTTTGTTGTTACAAGAGATTAGAACACTGGCAAACATTAAGGTATCGCAATTCATAAAAGTCAAAGCAAAAATGCGTTTGAAGGAAGACAGCAAGTTATGACGTTGATAACCTAACCGCACCGCTACGTCATATAGTTAATCGTTGGGTGTAGTTGAAATCGCTTTCCAACTAAAGCGTTTGAAATGCTAGTCCATCTTGCGAATTCTCCAATTTTAACCCATACGTTTCTCCATTCCTGGAATTCCTGGGAATGACCCATCACCCTGTCTTTATTTCTTTGCCTTACTACGACAAGGAATATCAATTATTGCTTGTCAGTATGCACTGTGACCTTTCCCAACCTCTCTTATCCCAAAGCATTCCCTTAGAAATAAAATCCTTGCAAAACTCGTTTTCATAACCTGACCCAATCAACGGATAACCTGCTTGGTGAAAAAGGCTCGTTGACATTTACAGCTGCGCATCCCTCGATAATTGTCAACTACTATTTCCTGTGAAATGTCCTTTATTCTCACCCATCCCCTCAGTAATCAAAACCTCGCTAAACTCATGATAATAACCTGCTTGATGAGGAGCTGTATTTTGATGTTCGCACTGGTGGCTTCAAGCTTGGTGGGGTTCTACTCGATGTAGCAAGAGTGTATTCTGTCCCTGTAGTTCTGGTCACGGTAGATGGGTATACGGTGGCTGTGCTCTTCTGAGAAACCGATTTATATGAAGTGGATGTCGTCGAGGAAGACACCGAAGACGGAGAAGGGAACACTGGACTGGACTTAGATTTTGAGGACGACACTGTGAACTCTGATTTTGATGAAGACACAGATGTCACTTTTGAAGATGGAACTTGTGTGAATAGACTCGGTGAGCTAAGCGTTAGGATTGAAAGAGTTCATACCCTCAGTAAAGACGTTCGTAATGATCCTCCCCTTTTACTCATGGATACTACCAATCAAATCGTTCAGTCTGGTAACATTATTGGAAGCTACTTAATATTACTTAAAAAATTTACTTATTTAAGTTATGGACGACCACTATCTAAGGCCCATCTCGTAAGATATAACCTTAACATATAAAAGCAATGCCTTTGTTTTCCCTCTGTCACCATCTCCACCTTAACCATTTCCGCCATCATCATCGTCATCATCATCATCATCATCATTATCAACATCATTATCATCATCGTCACCAGCATCATCATCGTGATCATCGCCATCATCACCATTATCATCACAGCACTTCGCCAAATATAATTACATAGGTATATTGCTTCAGTCTTGTAGCAAAATTTTAAGATATTAAACCTGCTACAATTCATCCACTGCCATTTATCCACTGCTCATCTTATCTTATCATCAACACTCACCATCGTCACCAACATCATCATCATCGTCTAGAATCTATGAAAATTATCAGGAACATAGAACCCTCCTCAATCTTGCCAGGCATAACCTTTAACATCATCCGGCCTTGGATGTTCAAAGTTGGGTGCTTCTACCCACCGGCTAAATCACTATTAGGCTAACCAATTGCGTTATCTACTGGGGAGAAGTTTATCCAACGGATAGCGCTATCCACCTTTTCAACAACTATTGCTTGTTCCACGTTTTCATCACCGTTTACCGACATAGCCTCATTATGTTCTTGGTCCCTCAAAATTCACAACGGGTTGAGGCAAAACTATACGATTCTTGCCACAGTCAAAGAATACCACTTATAAGCACAACCAAACCAATAAACTAAAGCTGTAATTTGAGACAAAGCAAGGATGGTGATATGATCACTTCAGCAATAACCGTCACGCGACTGGGCTAAATTGTCAACACAGAAAATGTTCATCTATATTATCTTCAATATTCTTGGAATGTAACGGTGGGCTACCCCGGAAGTCCAAAGCAGAAGTCAGAATGTGGAAATTTAAGCAAGTAAAAAACTAATTTTCTGTAATACTAGTTGCTTTAGTATTAAGCCCGTCCACAGATTCAAGCGCCTAGAATAATTAACAAGAATGCCATGGGCCTGAATATTGGCAACGCCACCATTTAACACCATATACTATCCATACCTAGAACTGCTGTACGATGAACTGCTAGAAGAGCTTGATGTCGACGAAGTTGAAGAAGAGCTACTCACACTCGAACTCACGGAAGTTGAAGTAGAACTGCTTACACTTGAATATGTGGAATAAACTGTTGTAGTTGGCGTGGACACGGTTGAACTCGATGAGCTGGATGATGTACTGCTTGACACACTTGTGCTGACACTCGTGGATGAAGTTGTCGTAGTGGGTGTGGACACACTAGAACTTGATGAAGTTGAAGTTGAGCTGCTCACACTGGAACTAGACGAAGTTGATGTTGAACTGCTGACACTTGAGTACGTGGAATAAACTGTTGTCGTTGGTGTAGACACACTCGAACTCGATGAGCTGGATGATGTGCTGCTTGACACACTTGTGCTGACGCTGGTGGAGGAAGTTGTTGTAGTGGGTGTAGATACACTCGAACTAGACGAAGTTGAGGTTGAACTACTTACACTTGAACTCGACGAAGTTGAAGTTGAGCTACTCACACTGGAACTAGTCGAAGTTGATGTTGAACTGCTCACACTTGAATACGTGGAGTACACTGTTGTGGTCGGTGTGGAAACACTGGAACTGGATGAGCTAAAAGATGTACTGCTTGAAAAACTTTCACTGATGGTGGTGGACGAAGTTGTCGTTGTTGGCGTGGATACACTTGAACTCAACGAAGTTGAAGTTGAGCTACTCACACTGGAACTAGTCGAAGTTGATGTTGAACTGCTCACACTTGAATACGTGGAGTACACTGTTGTGGTCGGTGTGGAAACACTGGAACTGGACTTAGATTTTGAGGACGACACTGTGAACTCTGATTTTGATGAAGACACAGATGTCACTTTTGAAGATGGAGGAACTTGTGTGAATAGACTCGGTGAGCTAAGCGTTAGGATTGAAAGAGTTCATACCCTCAGTAAAGACGTTCGTAATGATCCTCCCCTTTTACTCATGGATACTACCAATCAAATCGTTCAGTCTGGTAACATTATTGGAAGCTACTTAATATTACTTAAAAAATTTACTTATTTAAGTTATGGACGACCACTATCTAAGGCCCATCTCGTAAGATATAACCTTAACATATAAAAGCAATGCCTTTGTTTTCCCTCTGTCACCATCTCCACCTTAACCATTTCCGCCATCATCATCGTCATCATCATCATCATCATCATCATTATCAACATCATTATCATCATCGTCACCAGCATCATCATCGTGATCATCGCCATCATCACCATTATCATCACAGCACTTCGCCAAATATAATTACATAGGTATATTGCTTCAGTCTTGTAGCAAAATTTTAAGATATTAAACCTGCTACAATTTATCCACTGCCATTTATCCACTGCTCATCTTATCTTATCATCAACACTCACCATCGTCACCAACATCATCATTATCGTCTAGAATCTATGAAAATTATCAGGAACATAGAACCCTCCTCAATCTTGCCAGGCATAACCTTTAACATCATCCGGCCTTGGATGTTCAAAGTTGGGTGCTTCTACCCACCGGCTAAATCACTATTAGGCTAACCAATTGCGTTATCTACTGGGGAGAAGTTTATCCAACGGATAGCGCTATCCACCTTTTCAACAACTATTGCTTGTTCCACGTTTTCATCACCGTTTCCCGACATAGCCTCATTATGTTCTTGGTCCCTCAAAATTCACAACGGGTTGAGGCAAAACTATACGATTCTTGCCACACTCAAAGAATACCACTTATAAGCACAACCAAACCAATAAACTAAAGCTGTAATTTGAGACAAAGCAAGGATGGTGATATGATCACTTCAGCAATAACCGTCACGCGACTGGGCTAAATTGTCAACACAGAAAATGTTCATCTATATTATCTTCAATATTCTTGGAATGTAACGGTGGGCTACCCCGGAAGTCCAAAGCAGAAGTCAGAATGTGGAAATTTAAGCAACTAAAAAACTAATTTTCTGTAATACTAGTTGCTTTAGTATTAAGCCCGTCCACAGATTCAAGCGCCTAGAATAATTAACAAGAATGCCATGGGCCTGAATATTGGCAACGCCACCATTTAACACCATATACTATCCATACCTAGAACTGCTGTACGATGAACTGCTAGAAGAGCTTGATGTCGACGAAGTTGAAGAAGAGCTACTCACACTCGAACTCACGGAAGTTGAAGTAGAACTGCTTACACTTGAATATGTGGAATAAACTGTTGTAGTTGGCGTGGACACGGTTGAACTCGATGAGCTGGATGATGTACTGCTTGACACACTTGTGCTGACACTCGTGGATGAAGTTGTCGTAGTGGGTGTGGACACACTAGAACTTGATGAAGTTGAAGTTGAGCTGCTCACACTGGAACTAGACGAAGTTGATGTTGAACTGCTGACACTTGAGTACGAGGAATAAACTGTTGTCGTTGGTGTAGACACACTCGAACTCGATGAGCTGGATGATGTGCTGCTTGACACACTTGTGCTGACGCTGGTGGAGGAAGTTGTTGTAGTGGGTGTAGATACACTCGAACTAGACGAAGTTGAGGTTGAACTACTTACACTTGAACTCGACGGAGTTGAAGTTGAGCTACTCACACTGGAACTAGTCGAAGTTGATGTTGAACTGCTCACACTTGAATACGTGGAGTACACTGTTGTGGTCGGTGTGGAAACACTGGAACTGGATGAGCTAAAAGATGTACTGCTTGAAAAACTTTCACTGACGGTGGTGGACGAAGTTGTCGTTGTTGGCGTGGATACACTTGAACTCAACGAAGTTGAAGTTGAGCTACTCACACTGGAACTAGTCGAAGTTGATGTTGAACTGCTCACACTTGAATACGTGGAGTACACTGTTGTGGTCGGTGTGGAAACACTGGAACTCGATGAGCTGGATGAGGTACTGCTTGAAACACTTGTACTGACGGTGGTGGACGAAGTTGTCGTTGTTGGTGTCGATACACTTGAACTCAACGAAGTTGAAGTTGAGCTACTCACACTGGAACTAGTCGATGTTGAAGTTGAGCTGCTCGCACTTGAATATGTCGAGTAAGCTGTTGTCGTTGGTGTAGACACACTTGAACTCGACAAGCTGGACGATGTACTGCTTGACACACTAGTGCTGACGCTCGTGGAAGAAGTTGTCGTTGTTGGTGTGGATACGCTTGAACTCGACGAAGTTGAAGTTGAGCTACTCACGCTGGAACTAGTCGATGTTGAAGTTGAGCTACTCGCACTTGAATATGTCGAGTACACTGTTGTTGTTGGTGTAGACACACTTGAACTCGACGAGCTGGACGATGTACTACTTGACACACTGGTGCTGACGCTCGTAGACAAAGTTGTTGTTGTGGGTGTGGACACGCTGGAACTTGAGGAAGTTGACGTTGAGCTGCTCACACTGAAACTAGAAGGGGTTGACGTTGAGCTACTCACTGTTGTCGATGGGGTTGACACACTTGAGCTCGATAAGCTTGAAGAAGTACTACTCGACACACTTGAGCTGACAGATGTGGATGAAGATGTAGTCGGTGTTGACACACTTGAAGTCGATGAAGAACTGGATGAAGAACTGACAAGGAATAATCATTTGTCAAGACCATTGCGGCTACTCTGTTTTGTATATGGAAAAGACGGTTGTAGTACCCTGTACTAGGGTACGTAACGTTTAAAGTGTTGAACGTTAAAAAAAACGTTTTTTCAGTGGCTCTGAGTTGCCTTCGTCAAAAATGGACAGTCTTTTGACAATAAATGACTTTTCATTCCTGACACGCCTCCTTTTAGCAATAAAACACAAGTATGAAAAAAAATAGGGTGAAGGTCTTTCACTATACACGTCATTTGTTAAACATCGCGTCCCCACTGTTGTACTTCTAATTGGGTACCTTATACTTCCGTACAGCACTTCCCTTGTCTCTACTAATTCTTTGAATTCCTCACTTTGTTTGTACTAGATTTAGACAGACCGCTAAACAACCATATATATGTGCGTCGCATGACTTAATCTCCAGGCGTCCTTGCTACTACTTGGCATTGACGTTAGGTCAGGGGTGTGGGGCTGCAAAGTCACTCGACCATCAAACTGACAAAAAGCTATGAGCATTAACAAAAGTAAAATTTCCAATTACAAATTTCATCTCTTTCTTGTAAACCTAGTTTTACATGACTGTAGTCAAAACAGTCATACATTTTTGTACATTATAAGAGTACATTGTGCCAACCTGCTTGATGAAGTGCTCGACGTCGATGTTTGCGAGGGTGGCTTCAAGCTTGGTGGGGTTCTACTCGACGTATAAATAGAATATTCTGTCCCTGTAGTTCTGGTCACAGTGGATGGATAAACAGTTGCTGTGCTCTTTTGAGAAACCGATTTATATGAAGTTGTTGTTGTAGACGACGCGGAACTGAAGAAAACATTTACGTTAAAATTTGTTCAAGAAAGGAAAATGATCCTATTTCATGATTACCCAATCACTGTCTAAAGGTAAGTTTATACTTTCATTAGGTAAATTAGACTTTTTAGCATTCGGTAACTACTGTGGACCCACAGCAGTCCCTTTCCACACACACCAACACCTGCGTCTGCGTGCCCTACAAGGCTCACGAGTAAACCTCACCACCCAATGATGTTGTCGTCTGAAATCACTCAGGTTCTTTGAATTGGCTAATTGCTTGTCCACCTTATTTTCAAACGTGCAGCCTCTCTTTACCAAAAAGAGACGCACTCACACATTAGATTTCTGTGCAACGGTTCAACTTCTAGCAAAAACTTCCCCTAGCGGCCTAACTCTACATTCCTTGTGTCCGTCAATATGTTTCCTGACTCAAATCTCACATTGGTTGCCTATATTTTGTATTGAGGAGGTTCCACTGTGACGTATCTGTCTTACTAACTTTCATCATCATTTTAACAGTGATCAGCGCCAATATTGTCGCCATTAATATTATTACCAAAACCACCTCCACCATCAACCAATATCATCCTCATTTAAAGGAGCAGCAGAGGTGCTAGAAGCAGCGCTGTGTAACACGAAGCTGCCATTATGTTGATCGTAAACACGTTTTGGTGCTTATTACACTTCAACAAGCGATTAGCGTCCGATTCATTTCACGGGTCTTGCAGACAACTGTACATGACCAACACAACCTGTAACCTGTAAACGTTGAAATGTCATAGTGACGCTAGCAGGCAATTTTAACTACCTGCTTATAAAAGGTAATTTCTGTTTTCTTTGTTGCTCATAGCTAAGCTAATACGAAACTAACCAATATTCCGTCTCCAATTTTAAACTACTTTACCTAGTGGATGACGTTGTTGTCGTGGATGTTGAAACACTCGAGCTAGACGAGGTGGAAGTTGAGCTGCTCACACTGGAACTCGACGAGGTGGACGTTGAGCTGCTCAAACTAGAACTTGACGATACTGAAGTTGAGCTACTCACACTTGAACTCAGCGACGTTGAAGTTGAACTGCTCACACTTGAATACGTCGAGTACACCGTAGTCGTTGGTGTGGAGACACTCGAACTAGACGAGCTGGATGATGTACTGCTTGACACACTTGTGCTGACACTAGTCGATGAAGTCGTTGTAGTGGGCGTCGACACACTGGAACTCGACGACGTTGAAGTAGAACTGCTCACACTTGAACTTGATGAAGTTGATGTTGAACTGCTCGGACTTGAATATGTCGAGTAAACTGTTGTCGTTGGTGTGGACACGCTAGAACTCGAAAAGCTTGAAGAGGTACTACTCGATACACTTGTGCTGACGCTAGTGGATGAAGTTGTTGTCGTGGGCGTTGATACACTGGAACTGGACGAAGTTGAAGTAGAGGTACTCACACTGGAACTGGATGAAGTTGAAGTTGAGCTGCTCCGACTTGAATATGTCGAGTAAACTGTTGTTGTTGGTGTTGATACACTTAAACTCGATGAACTTGAAGACGTACTGCTTGAAACAGTGCTACTGACGCTGGTGGACGAAGTTGTCGTTGTTGGTGTGGATACACTTGAACTCGACGAAGTTGAAGGTGAGCTACTCACACTGGAACTAGTCGAGGTTGATGTTGAACTGCTGACACTTGAATACGTGGAGTACACTGTTGTGGTCGGTGTGGACACACTGGAACTCGATGAGCTGGATGATGTACTGCTAGAAACACTTGAACTGATTGATGTGGATGAAGTTGTTGTGGTTGGGGTCGACACAGATGAGCTAGATGAAGAACTTAAAACAAGAAAATTTGAATGATATAGTTAGTTGCCAAGACCTGAACAAGCGTCTTCTCACTTAAATTTGGGGGATTCCGTGTCCCAGCTAGAGCTGACTGCGATTGTGATTTCTTCAGAAACCATTTCAAGGTATATAGTGTTCACCAAAGTAAAACTAAATTTCTATGCAATGTCTAAAAAATAAAATTTATTACGGTCACTACCAGTAATATACTTTTTATTGAAGGCAGCGTTAAACTTAACGAATAGACTATCTGTCTTTGCAGTTTAACCTTTGGTGTGCTATGTTTCAATTAAGAGCACGTTATCTATCTTTTTCAATCGGAAATTCTGTAGCCATTTTGGCATAAAATTATTCTTAAAGAAAAAAAACAACCAAGTTTTAACTCAGAAAAAGAAGGAAACCGGAAATTATTCGTCCTTGCAAATGGAAAGAAAAATCTGTAAACCTGGGGGGAAAAAGGAAACTTGAAAGCTACTTCTATCATATTTCCTTCCCTTTACTGTATCCCTTGTAACTTTTTTGTTCCACTACTATTCTCCTAAACGTTAACCCTTTAACCCCCAATATCCAAGCACGAATTCTCTTAACTGGTCTCCATAAATTTTGGGAAGATTTCAAGAGATTAATGAATTTAGTTTTTGTGTGATCATTGCTTTCAATCTCATGACTTGTTCCCTTAAGTATGCCCTGTTACTTTGAATAGAAGTTTGATATTGATCGTGGTAATAGTGAAGAGTATGTAACCACCTGCTGGATGAAGGACTTGATCTCGAAGTTTGTGACGGTGGCTTTAAGCTTGGTGGCGTCCTGCTTGATGTTCCAACAGAGTACTGTGTCCCAGTGGTTCTGGTCACTGTAGATGGATAAACAGTAGCCGTGCTTTTCTGTGAAACTGATTTGTATGACGTGGAAGTTGATATGGAACTGGAATGAACAAGTTTAATATCAGTGGTAAGTACTTGGTATAAAAGGGCAAATAACTCATCTACTATTTTAATGAAATTTCTGAAAACACCCATTCAAAAACTAATTCTATAAGTTGTAAAGAGTTACTAGCTTTTAATGATGATACCATATTCTTAACCTCCGTTTCTCAAAGATACACGAGAAAATGACTGCCTCATATTTGACATTTACCCTCTCGCTCTCGCTTGAGACATTTATCTCGAGAATTGCTCTAAAAACGTCTGTTACAAATAATGACCCGAATATACGCTCAATTAAACGCCGTTTGATGAACAACAACCTTCAACACCAAGGCATAAAGAAACATGCGACAACTCAACCGAGAAATTACGTAATTCCGGTGGTGCTTGATTTAGGCCTATGCAGAAAATTTACTATCTACACGTATTGTTGACTTTCAGTAAAAAAGCACTCTGACAATCAAACACCCAAGAAAGATCATTTTACCTAGAGCTTGATGCACTTGTGGAAGACGTTAATGTTGTGGGTGTAGACACACTCGAACTTGACGAAGTTGAAGTCGAGCTACTTACACTCGAACTTGACGAAGTTGAAGTCGAGCTACTTACACTCGAACTCGAGGAAATTGAGGTGGAACTGCTTAGACTAGAACTCGACGAGCTTGATGTTGAGCTACTCACACTTGAACTCGACGAAGTTGAAGTCGAGCTACTCGCACTGGAACTAGACGAAGTTGACGTAGAACTGCTTGAACTAGAACTCGACGAAGTTGAAGTTGAACTGCTCACACTTGAACTTGATGACGTTGAGATTGAGCTGCTCACACTTGAATACGTGGAGTAAACAGTTGTCGTTGGTGTGGACACACTGAAACTTGATGAACTGGATGATGTACTGCTTGACACACTTGAGCTGACACTCGAGGATGAAGTTGTTGTAGTGGGCGTCGACACACTGGAACTCGACGAGGTTGAGCTGCTAACACTGGAACTGGATGAAGTTGAAGTTGAACTGCTCGGACTTGAATAAGTCGAGTAAACTGTTGTCGTTGGTGTGGACACACCCAAACTCGATGAGCTCGATGATGTACTGCTTGAAACACTTGAGCTGACACTCGAGGATGAAGTTGTTGTAGTGGGCGTCGACACACTGGAACTCGACGAAATAGAGCTTGAGCTGCTAACACTGGAACTGGATGAAGTTGAAGTTGAACTGCTCGGACTTGAATAAGTCGAGTAAACTGTTGTCGTTGGTGTCGAAACACTTAAACTCGATGAGCTCGATGAGCTCGATGAGCTCGATGATGTACTGCTTGACACACTTGTGCTGACGCTCGAGGATGAAGTTGTAGTAGTGGGTGTGGACACACTCGAGGTGCTTGAAATGGACGAGCTAGAAGAGTGCAAAAAGTCATATGTATGTAAATATCATTAATAAAAGTATTTATTATAATTAAGAACAAAATCCTCAATCTGAATTGCTATTTTTTAGCCCCAATTTCAGCATTAATAGGAAAGTGTAATGTGACAGAATGCGAGATATGTAAGGAATTGGACAGCAAGATGTAACCTCCGCGGTAATGCGACAGTTTAAAAGTCACTATTTTTTCTCTTTACGCCTAAGTGAAGAACAGCAAGACACGGGGGACGATCTTTGTCCTTTTGTTGAACAAATCACTGAAACCTTCACCGTTTTTCGGACATTTTGCTTAAGTATTGAGCAACTGAAAAGATAACTTCGTGTCGTCCAATTCATTCTGTAGTCATATTTCTAATGAGACACAAAGAGGAGACAACGCTTTGAAGAGATCGTGGCTGAGTGATTAGCACGTCGCACTCGCAATCCGGCGGTCTCGGGTTCGAGTCGCACTCCTCGGCCACGCTTGTAAATAGGGACCTTAAGCAATGACGACCACGACGGCAGTGAAAACGTCCCTAAAAAATGAATTTGCGTTCTTTCACACTTAATTGCGTCTGTTTGGACCTGCTCAATGTGTCAAATGCAGGCGACTTTTCCTAGAGTTGAATTCTAAAGGATTTTATTCAAGTTCAAAAAGAGGAAGGAAAATTCGTCGTCGTATGTCCACGTCGTAGTCGTGCAGTGGACGTCATAGAAATGTACTAAAAAGCGTGTGTGTATGTGTGTGTGTGTGTGTGTGGGGGGGGATCCTGTTATATGTTACGTTATTATATGAAATTAACGCTCCATGAAATTAAGGTATTAGAAATTAACGCGAATTTAGTAAAACACGACTTTCGAATGAAGGAAATTAACGCGAAAGAGAGGGTTACATTTATTATATTACTACATGAGAAATTTTTTCAATTTGATTGGCTAAGAGCAGTGGTTTTACAGCTTAATTTGAAATACCTGTAAGTGAAAATTACAAAACCTTTGCGTGTAGTAGTATAAATAAATTAATTATAATAAATTGTCTCAAATTACGTATCACAATTTTGAAAAATCACTCGTGGTATTTATGCCAAATATCACTACAAATCATGCCATTACCTATACAAAATGAAGGAAATTTACGCGACGTGTACAAAGAAACAACCTTGCTGAGACAACAGGAACGAAAATTAAACGTAAAATCCGAAAGGGAAACTTTGTTCGTGGTTCTTTACTTAGCCTGCGAAAACATCCGTTTCTCCTGCTCTTCGCCGCCGGGGACGTTTCGCGAGACCGCCCCCATCGGCGAAGAGCGAGGAGAAACGCATGTCTTCGCAGGCTATTCTTTACTTAAAATTTACGCGAAGAAATCGGGCCACTTCAAGTTCATCACAGGTTCACTGTTGCTGGCGGATCTCCACCCTGATAAAATACTCCTCTTTCTTAGGTGTCAAGAACATCAGAAGTGTATTGAGAATTTGGGGTCAAAAACATGGAAATTGAGGTCGCGGAAATTAACGCGGTTTACAGAAATTAACCCAACTTCTTGAAATCCGCGTTAATTTCATGAAGCGTTAACTTCCTACAATATGGTATATAACAATTATTTGTTCTAAATTCTTTGAGTGGAGTGCCAGTAAACTAGGTGGATAAGTTAAGTGGAATTTTCATTATAAACCTTTCACTGTTTTTTTTTAACCTTTTTTATCAAATGGGACTTTGGCTATCAATGTTATGGCTGCAGACTGAAACGACCTCTCACACGCACAGTCTTATGGCTATTATAAATCGATGTCGTTTTACGTACCTGGTGCTACTCGAGCTTGATATACTGCTGGTCGTGGACGACGTGGCAACCGTTGTTGTGGCGACACAAGGCTTGCTACATTTCTCTGTTTGATTGACACACTTTTTACCGTCGAAGAACGTACCAAGAGGGCAGGAACATCCTTCAACTCGAGGCCCACGGCAACACCTCGCACCCAATTTTTTACAATCTTTGGCGGGGCTCTCGCAGGTAGTGGGCAAACTTATGTTGGCTAGGTAACCACCTGTGTTCTGACAAGGTCGACAGCAGGGGAGCTCTGCAGAAGTATGAATTAGCTTATTATTCATTTACATTTTAAACAGGGTTCGTACTCTTTTAAGTTCTTCAAATTCCAGGACTTTCCATGACTTTTCCATGACCTTTTTATGTTTCCCATGACCTTAAGTTTAGCTGAAACGCTTTTTACAAATTTTTAAAGCTTTTGTGTTCTAGAGTATTTTTGACCTTAAACAGTTCAACAGACACCAACTCCTGTGTCCACCTAAATGTGTGCCTTTCGCGCTGTTCAATCTGACTCTATAGGGGTAACACAATTACTGGTAAACCAATACTTTTCATTGTGACCCACAAAGGTAAGAATCCCAACCAGAAGGAGGTCAACGCTTTCTCTGCCGTCGCCGTCCTCGGATCTTAAGGTCCCTGTTCACGATTAGAGGACCAATCCTTTGAAATGGCCTCAACAACAAAACAAGGATTCAAGCTGATGTAGCGAGATTTAACGTAACCTTGAAGAAATGCAATCTGGAACAGAGTAGTTATATGAAGGGAACTTGCGTAATTTTAAATAAAAATTTAGATGATTTCTTTTATTATTAATCTGTAAATCTTTAACTTTTAATACTGTGCTGATAATGATAATTTTAGTATCACTTGTGTAGCTGTAATGGTCTGTTGTATTGTAACTTTTGTTGTTTTCAGTTGTAGAAATTGTTTTAATCGTAACACATGTAATGTCGTAAATTATCTTTCTAGTGTATTTGTTAATTAAGGACTACATCAGCCTTTGACCGCGCTATTGACCTTTCAATAAAATATATATGTATGCATGTATGTATGTATGTATGTATGTATGTATCATCACCATTATCGTTGCCATTGATATAGTAATACTTCACTTGAGTTCAAGTCAGGTGTCAACTTACGTGTTAACAATCTATGCTATGACGACCACTACACTGTTTATTTAACTCACCACAAAATCCTTCCCTACGCCACGTGATTGAGATGCCATACTGGTTGCAGGCTCGCACGTACGCAGCAACCGCCGAACAAAAGCATGCGCAGTCGCCTCCCTTGTGGCATAGACAAGCTTCGTGTTTACAGGCTTCGAAGTACGGCTCCGGATCCACCGTGTCGTGACAGACGGTGAAGTTGGCGTTTCTTTTGATTTCGTTACAACCTGGCATTTACAACAGGTAAGAATTAAAAGCAGCAATGAAGGGTATTACGAACTCACAACTTGCTAGGAACTGGTTTTCAAAAGCCAGAGGGTAAAACTATAGTCCTGGGCCCTGTTGGTGAAAAGGTTGACAGCGCTATCCAGCGGATAAATCTCTATCCAGTGGATAGTGCAATTGGTTTCCCTAATACTTATCCGTGGGATAGTGATTTATCCGGTAGATAGCACTATCCATCTTTTAAACAACCGGGGCCTAGGCCCAGTTGTTCAAATGGGCAATGTTAAGGAAAGAAAATATTGGAATTAGTTTCATAAATACGAGATCGGTTCCGTCGCTTCATTTAACATAGTTACTGTCTCTTTTGTGGTTTAATTTTATCGCTGGTCTAAATTTTATTTTGTAAACTTTCCGCACAGCCCCATACATTTATTATGCACACAGCAATACCATAGTTTTCCTCACAAACAGTTTATTTGACTAGGGTCAAAAGCTTAGGTGTATGCTTAATAAATGTATGGGGCTCTGCAGAAATGTTATCTTTTATTCTCCTTTAGTTTTGGGTATGGTTATATTTGGTAATGAGTTTGAAACAAAGTAAAATAGAATTATCCAGAGATAAAATTGAATTACGACATCGCCATGTGAGTTTTCGGTTACTTTTTTTTTACAACTTACCTTTCTCTGCCCAGCCTTGTCTATCGGGATTATCTGAGCAAGGATCGAGACTCACAGGGTAGGGACAATCCTCTTCATCTCGCCAGGCATAACCAAACTCAGTGTCATCCGCGGCGTCTGTGTTCTTATCCGGCAACGTCAAATCGTCTTGATCGCGTCCATTGAAGTTACCGCAAATACCAGTCAATTTGTCTTGGCTCTTGTACGAGGGATTAGGCGTTACATACACACGAGATCCTTGATCGAAACGCACCTACAATCGGAGAAGTAACAAGTAACAGTTGTACCCCCACTGAGCGGCCACCCTCAGGGTACTGGTAAGCGGTCGCGGAGGATGGCCGCTCAGTAGAGGTTCTTCTTAAGGTGGCTGAACACAGTTTCGCGGGCGGTCAGCGGTAGCGCATGTTTTAAATTAGACAAACAAACATGGCGGCGAAAAAAGCAGTGGAAGACAGAAGACGATTTCTCAAAATCTACTCATTAAAATTTTGTGATATTTGGCAGAATTTTTACATTTATCGTATTTTAAATAATGATAACTTTAAAATGGGAGTTGAACAGACGAATTTTGTGACACATTTAATAATAACAGTACAATTATATTATTGATTATCTGAAAACCCCTCTGTTAAAATTTGGTCAAATAAGTTTCAAATAGTAATGATTAATTATAGTAAGCTGTGTGCGAGTTTATAGGAAAATCTAATGAGCGAATTTTATGTAAACTGAGTAAAATTGAAATTTTAAGGTTGTATTCAATCGTTCATGTTGCCATGGAAACTACGAAAACGTCAAATTTTGCCTGTCAGTCAAAATCTTTCATCACTATATTTTTCACTTGCCAAGTTTCAGCTTGTGAGCTGCAACCTTTCTCTTGCCATAATTTGGCAAATGACCTATACTCAGAAACTGCCAAAACTGTGTTCAGCCACCTTAAATTAGCATAATCTTTAGCAGGAACATCACTTTATTTTTAAACAAACGGCTAGCGCGCGATGGGAGTAGCATTACTGGTCCACGTCACCTTGTATCTCGGAATGTATTTGTATTAAAGCCAAGCTCAGCGTATCAAGCGCTTGGTGGCTGCTTAATAGAGGTGCCAACAATAGGAAAACTCTCGTTGGAATGGCCAAAGGGTGGCCGTGGCCGCTTGATAGAGCTGGCTGCTTAATGGAGGTTTAATTTCCGATTCTTTTACACAATTATTACACAACTTTGATTTCTGGCCGCGTAATAGGGGGTGGCCTTGGTGGCCATTTAATGTACACAATTCTCATTGCGATTTAATTTCATAAAAATAAGAGTTTGTTTCATGGCAGTATAACCATTTTTCTCAGTGAAATGTTGTAAAGCTACAATCAAAGTTATACCTTTACCTCTAGTTCAACTCACCTCAAATTTCACGAAGAAAGGATTATTTGGCTGGTAAATGCGAACTATCAGGAACAGACCGACATGGAAAACCTCAACATTGGGGATCTCCATCTGACACGGTTCGGGATATTCTCCCGGTTTGTAACTCTTGCTGGCACCATTTTGGATAATGGAGAACTCTTTTTGGTACAAATCCAAAGATGTCGCCCCGCCCTCCAACTCAATACCAACTCGTTTGCACATCTGTAGTTCAAGCGAATTACTGGATAAAAACGAAAAGACTGGTTTTAAAAGGGAGAAACACTCCAAAAAATAGAAACACTCAACGCTTCACCAAATTCTAGATCCACAAAACACAGAAATTTAACCTGCATGGTTCGTTCTTGACCGAGATCTTGACGCCATCTCCTTCCATCATGATAAACTCGCAGCGTTCATGATGAAACACTATCCATCTTCCGTCAAATGTGCGGTACTGATCTTGACCGTACGCGGCGCATTCGTATTCTGGGGAAGGCTCAATCATATTGTCAGAAATCCATTCACGAGCACCGTTACATTTCCTGAAATAAAGGACAAATTCGTCACGCAAAAGTCACGCAAACATGAATCAATTGAAACTCAAAAGTCACATAATTGTCACAATTGACTCGTATTAATGTTACGTTACACATTTTACTATGAACAAAATTTGTCAACAAGGTGGCACTGACGCATAATCAGAAATATGTTTACAATAGTGTCAGTTGAACGCCCACTGTAAAATTTGCAGTATACAACTATAAGATATTCTGAAATTTACGTATCAAAAGCCACTGAGAGTTTGACAAATAAATATTCATTTACGTAAAAGCTATGAGACATTGCAACAATATCAGCTTCTTGACATCTACCGTCAGATTATTTCTGTTTAAAATCGTGCCTTCCAGAGAGGTTTTTTTAGATCTTCAAGGTTCCAAAGAAATATCGAGAGTTAATAAGAGGAATGCGACTGTCCGTTTTAGTCTTGTAGGTTTTATTGACTCGTGATGAAGAACGGTGGTTAAGCCTGGGTTCCAAAGAATCTGGAAAGCGATCAAACGCTGTTGGCTTCGGGCATTTTCAGTAGATCCCAAGCACCACAGACAACTAAACCCATTTAGTTTAGCGATCGCAATCATGCTACGTCTGTTTGACTCGATTTTGTTGTGAAAGTCGCGCCAAGTACGCATATGCAAAACAACGCAGGCCGGTCGCTAATCGCCTTTTAGTTCACAATCGCCACCTTAGAAACGAGAAAGGGACTGGTGCCGAAATGTGTTTCGCAATTGTTCCAATTTGT